CGCTTTATGTAAATCGTTTACGATTACTTTTTAACTTGTTTGATATGTTAATCCGCAGCTATGTATTCAGTTATGTTGTCATGGGCAGAAATTTAATTTCAACTCATGATCTAAAAGGGCTGTACGAGGGACTGTACTATATTAGGAAAAACAGACAATAAGACATTCGAAACCGCTTCCCTTCTTAAACTGAATCGCAGTTAGAGCAGGTCCGACTTAGGGGCGATTCAACTCGAATCACATCAAATATTCTAATCAACTTTGAATCTGCGGATATCAACCCTTTAATCGAAAATTGAGAAACCGTCATCAACTTCATATATGGACCGGAAAAAGGTACATACTGTATCGAGTAGTATTTTTCAAAGATGTTTCACTTATATTGCTTCAAAAATATATAATTCCTATTACAACGTTTTCACTGATTCAAAGTTTTCTTCTCTTAAATCTTTTAAAAAAGCAATGTATACCTTACTTATGGATAGACAGCGGAATACTTGAAATTGTTGAGTCACTTAAAGTTTGGCACAAACCCAAATTATGCAATTCTGCCATTTGTGGTCGAGTATTAAAAGCTCGATGGAATGGGGTTAAGTGGTAGAACAGACAGTGTGGTACCCTCTTGGGTGCCCACTAGTCTGAACTTTCGCCTCTTTGAGCTAACATGCTTTTTTTTTATTCATTAGAATATGTAGTTAATATCATGTTTAGCTCAATAAAAGTCTATTATTATTATTTTTTTTTTATTATTACGAACACGATGTTGTATGGCACAATATGATTCTCATTGGACTTTTTAATTTTTCAATTCCACTGAACTGCTGATATCGGTATCGATATGTTACCTATACAGGATGTAACAATTAAGATTGGTGACACGAGAAAAAGAGATTCAAGCTCTAAGACAATTTTGGGCGCCCAAAGGATAACACTGAAAGATCACCACGTTAGTATAACACGCTCGGGGATGAACCCCAGATGTCGCCGACCCCACATAATATTGCCCAGCCTGTAAAGTTTTAATTACTTCTACATGGCCCCGGTAGGTACATAAACATTGTACAGTCCTCGTCTTTCTACAAGCGTTCTTCTACAGGTCCACATTTGCTGCTAGCCAGCCGGCCGTTGTGAGATTAAAAGCTACCTTTTTACGAATAAATTTGCAAAAATAGACTAAAAAAGTTGCCTCTGGTCTACATTCGAGTTACGCAAAATGGTAGTACTTAGTGTACACCAACATTCTACAATGATTTTCCCTCGAGGTAAACCATTACAAATTTTGTGTACACTAAGACTATAAAAGAAATTCCCAAGAAATTCTAAAAAAACTCCAAAAATTGTACAAAATAATTGTGTGTACAGGGTGGTTCAAACGAGTGTTGTCCGCAACGGTGAGAGATACAGTGTAGGCTAAATGGGGACAAAGTTCCTCTTTTTGCGACTAAAAAAACGCTTTTTAATTTCTGAAAAACCTTTGAAAATATGAAAACAAAGTTTTTCGGTGATATCTCGGTTATTTTCAAAAGTTTTCAAAAATTTAAAGCGTTTTTTTAGTCGCAAAAAGGGACAATTTTGCTCCCATTTTACCTACACCGCACCTCTCACCGTTACGGAGATCCCAACGGCAAGCCACGAATGTGAACCACCCTGTACACTAAAATTTTAAATCAAATTCTAAAAAATTCAACAAAAGCTCTAAAGTTTTTTTTTCAAAATTCAGGAAGTTCTAAAAAATGCTAGGTAATGTACACCAAAACCCTACTGTGGTTTTTCCCCTAGGTAAAAGCGATACCAAATTTCGTCAACATCAAAACACCCCGTCTACGAAAGAACAAATTTAAGAATTTTGACATCAAAAAAAGTATGTGCGAGTATATCCCAAAACCTAGAAATAAGCAGCAAAATCCATTCTAACAGATGTTTCCTAAGAAGCTTGTTTTTCTCCTCCTCAAATTGATGATAGGGGAAATGCCTTTTCCGTGCTTGCCACGCTCATAGGGAAAAAAGCCTGTTTTCTGGACTCCCAATAAAAGATACCTACTACTTTATCCGTAGTAATATTGGGAAACGGTTGTCACATTCTTCGTGGACTATTTCAAGAAACTTTGAGTGAAATTGGTAATTTTGAACCACGTCAAATAGTACAATTTCAAAAAATAGTGCAATTTCATTTATTTTAAAAAATATCTAGAAAAAAACACAAGATATTAAAGTTACCTTCTAGAATCGACACATGATTTTCGAATTAAAAAAAGTCGTGCAGGTAAAAATAAAACAAACATTTCTTTAATGCTACTGAACTGTAACAAAGGCAAAAATCTGAATTTAAAAAAAAATAGAAAATTCTAAAAATTGTATAAAATAATTGTGTGTGCATGTGCGCTCGGGAAAAAAGTTTTAAAATATCTAAAAAATTCTACAAAATGCTAGTAGAGTACTCCAAAATTCTACAGCGATTTTCCCCTCGTCAACTTCCTCAACACCAACAGATCATTATTTGATTTCTGCATTTTTTTTAATTCTCCTGAATGTTTCTAATTTTTCTGATCACCCAATCAACTTGTGGGTGCTTGTGTACCCTTACTTTTATAAATCAACCCCCTCCGTACCGACAGATCATAATTTAATTTCTATTTCTGCATGTTTTTTTTTTATTTTTCTTAAATCTTTTTAATTTTTTCTAATTTTTAAAATTTGGCTTTGAACGTCTTCTTTTATATAAACATCCCCCTCTGTCTAATAGCTAATAATAGTAATAATTTAATTACTAAGTGAACATATTTTTTTTTTTAATTTTCCCAAATTTTCCAAAAATAATTCCGGTTTTGGAATTTTGTAAACTTTGGGAATTGTTATGATTTGTCCTTGTACATCTATTTTTATAACCAACTCCCTTAGCACCAACATCATTATTTAATTTCTATTTTTTTAATCTTCCTTAATGAATGTTCCGCATTTTTCTGAATTTTCGGAATTTTCAGAATCTGTCTGTATACATATATTTTTCTAATTCTCCCCTCAGTATCGATTGATACTTCCTCAACACCAACAGATCATTATTTGATTTCTACATTTTTTTTAAATTCTCCTAAATGTTTCTAATTTTTCTGATTGCCCAATCAACTTGTGTGTGCTTGTGCACCTCTACTTTTATAAATCAACCCCCTCGGTAGCGACAGATCATAATTTAATTTCTATTTCTACATATTTTTTTGATTTTTCTTAAATCTTTTTAATTTTTTCTAATTTTTAAAATTTGGCTTTGAACGTCTACTTTTATATAAACATCTCCCTCTGTCTAATAGCTAATAATAGTAATAATTTAATTACTAAGTGAACATATATTTTTTTTTAATTTTCCCAAATTTTCCAAAAATAATTCCGGTTTTGGAATTTTGTAAACTTTGCGAATTGTTATGATTTGTCCTTGTACATCTATTTTTATAACTAGCTCCCTTAGCACCAACATCATTATTTAATTTCTATTTCTATTTTTTTAATCTTCCTTAATGACTGTTCCGCATTTTTCTGAATTTTCGGAATTTTTAGAATCTGTCTGACATATTTTTCTAATTCCCCCCTCAGTATCGATTGATCATAATTTTATTTCTATTTCTACAAAAACAAAACATTGTTAATTAATAAATAATTAATAAAGAACTGTTTTATATGTCGTAATCGAGGTCGTAATTTATATCAACATCTTCATCTTCTCCTAAGCAACTCTTCTCAAGTTCCAGTGACATTGCCCTTAAGTGCCCCAAAAGTTTTTCACCTTCTCACAAATTCCTATTTTATCCCTTGGAAGTCATATATTATTCCCAGTATTATTCCCTAAAATTCATTGTTACTCTCTAAATTTGCCTCCTTATGTACCCTTCAATTCCCCAATAAGTTAATTCCCTCCAGTTTATATAAAGTTCTCCTCATACGTTACCCTCTAGCCTCTCTCAAGGCAACAAAGTTGTTAAATAATTAACCATAGTAGTGTGGATGATTTGAGGAGATCTCGGAAAATATGTTTGGCGATTGAAAAACTAAAAAATCAAAAATTTTCCATTCCGACTTTCGCTCATTGGAGAAAATTCAAGTTGGCTTTTTTGTTTGGGATTTACTTCAATAATCAAGAAAATTCTTTGAACTTACCACGGACATGATCCCAACGATTAGGGAATACATCGATTTTGTAACCATTTTTCAAGAAAGTCTTTGAACCCCAAGAATTTGGTGTTTCGGAAAAATCTACCGGTTTTTATAATGCTAATCTTAATCGATTGGAATTTTCCCTTAATATCCTCTTATTACCGCGAATCGGCTCGGCTTTTGTTCAGATCTCTTCAAATATTTCCCTAATTTTAATACAGTCAAGACTAAAGAAAGTACAGGGAAAGGTCTAAATTCCTTTGGTCAAATCTTAAGTCATTGGATGCGAAAATTGTGTTGATCAAAAATGCAAAACGATGGAAACTCTCGAAGTTTACAAAAGCGCCGTTATTTCAAACAATAACCAATTACAATCCAATTTATCTACGTAATGAGTTTTTGAATTACTGTTCGTTTGTCTCCTCAGTCTTACGTAACCATCTACCGTAATTGATGAATAATCATTGATTCACCCTATACATATTTAAGTAGATTACGTTTATTACACGGGTGTCATAAATAACGGCCGTTTTGTGTCATGCTCCTCCACATTAAAACAAAGGAATCAGCTGTTGCTTTTCACGCGACGGCGGATCGGGGTGAATATTCTCAAAATGTGAATGTACTAAAATTGTCAAAACAGTACTCTTGTAGTTTGGACAAGCAATTAGTACGTTTAAAAATGATGCCAACGCGAAATGTAAATAGCTGAGGTATGCAGTGCAGCAACCACCCCCGTATGCAAATCAATCCCGTTACGCCCTTGCAACAAAAACTGGAACGTGGCGAAAAATGTAAATACATACCGCGATAACGATTTAGCGAGCACAAATTAAAAAGATAAGATAAAAACTAACCTGGCGAAAGGTTTTTCCTCTACATCGTAGGTATCGGCGATTGGATCCTGTCGTACCAGATTCCCCAATAACTTCGAAGATATACTTAACAGTCCTTCGCGGGAACTCTTAATTTCCGACAGCATTTTTATCACTATTTCGCTTTCCAATTTTGCTTATCACTTTCGTTTTAAAACGTCAACGACGTGCTTTTGTTATTCCAAAATTTGAAAAAAAAAAACACCTTTTCCGTTATTTTTCGATCGGATTTAAGGTTAAGTACAAATTCAAAACGTAACCGAATTTTATCTAACGTAATGTAACGATATGTGAACGTTCGTTTGCATTTTTTTTCCACTAAAACAATAACTGAAATTAATTTACCTATCGTTAGATGATAATAAAAACATGGGTTGCAACACAATCAAGCCCAAAATTGAACTAACGGCTTGCTATGCCTCAACGCAACTGATCGACTGTTGAACGTTGATTCATTTATTTGCCTTTCTTTATTGTGACTCCAGCGAAACCCGCGCGGCGACATCTATGAGAAGAGTCACGCACCACATTTTATTGTTAAATTTATTAATTTGTTGATATCAGATCACTTTGACCGCGATACCATTTCAATACGAACGGTCTTCTAAATTTACATCATTAATTACCTACTGTAAATCACAATTTGCCATTATAATTTTAATGAGCGATTGGGGAATCGGTAGCCTGGCGCATAGGCAACTCAACGAGCATTATTCTAGCAGCCCTCAAATTATGAACAGATTCCAGGATAATATCACTGGGGGGACCCAAAAAGAGTTTTTTGGGCCCCTAAAATCACAAACTTAGTAGTTGCTTATCATAATATCTGCAAATATCATATTCATTTAAGCTTCATTATATCATCAGTGGTTGAAATAGACCCAGTGAGTTAGGTTAGTCTGGCAGGGTTCCCCTGGAATCTCCAGGGTGCCATTGTGACCTAATGCGAGGACCAATGGACTTTGGACTGGTTGGAGAAGACCGTCCCTCAGTAGTTCCGAGGCAGGCGGTGTTAAACGGGCTCCCGGATGAGACGGCCACCATCTTAAAGCGCCTCCAGCAGCAAAATCCTGATAGTTCCAGGATGTTCTTCCGGTCCGGTAGAGTCTGCATTTGGCGTCGATAAGGCATCCTATCGGGCATTTCAACGGCAGAACTTCAAAGAGCACGCGTGAGTTTTCGCTCGTCACTTTTGTGACGAAAGCGACTGCTTCGGATGCGCTAGGTAAGGGAGAGAAGCAGGCACCCAGTGCCGTTGCGACCAAGGGGACTCAATCCCTCGGTATCGACCTCAAAAGGGGCGTTTATTACGGGCGCCCTCAGAGATCGAAAAAGATGTCGACGAGCTCTTGACTCGCATTACTAAGCGACGCCATAACAGCGTCATATGAGGACCGCTGTAAACATGCGGACTTTTCCAGGGTCGAAGAGAACACCTGGGTGGAACTCAGACCTTGAAAATCCTCTTGGAAAATCCGAGATTTGTGTACCTACCTAAGCCAAGACATTCCAAATATTACATGGGGAAGGATTACAGGCCCATTTGGGTGTGGGGGTGGCGGGAGAGTTTCTAGATATCGAGAGTGCAATGCTTTGGCATTGATGGGTCACATGGATTCGCGCCATGCTCAGAAGCAGAGTCATTATATGTTGTTATATGTTCGCAGGATGAAGTGTTGTCTCCACTAGTGTGGTGCCCGGTACTAAACAGGCTCTCGGACGGAGCGTATTTAGACAGGGATACGCGGACGATCTGATCGTCATAACGGGAAAGTTTCCAAACACCATGAAAGAACTCACGCAGGGGTCTCTTTAACAGGTGGACAGGTGGTGCAGTAGCGATGGCCTCTCTGTTAACTCGGAAAGGACTGGGATTGTTTTATTTACTAATAGAACGAAAGCGGACCTTGAACACTCTTCGAAGACGTCAACTGGGTCTGACCAGATCAGGGAAATATTTGAGAGTCATCATAGGTTCTCGCCTGCCATGGAAAGGGCACATTGAGCAAATAAGGAAAAAAGGTCACTACATGTCTATGTGCATGTTGAAGGGGAGTTTGAAGTGTACTTAAAGAGAAGTTGAAGAGAACTAGTCTATAACTTTTGATTGAGAAGTGTGATCGAAAAAGTACGAATTGATTTGGATTCTACGCACCAAAATTAATTAGAAAAAGTGTTTTCCCGAGAAATTTTGGTGTAGTCGATTTTTGGTAAAAAAGGAAGGTTGTACATTGCCTTTTTTGAGGCCCGAAGAAAAAATTGTCTCAGAACGACCCGAAAAAAATGTTCTTATAGAATGTGGCCTGTAGAATCCATAATTCACACAGTTCCAAGATTGGGCTACTAGTTCAAAATTTACAGCCTTTTGAATTTTCTTTCGAAATTGGTTTCTAGTCTATAACTTTTGATTGAGAAGTCTGATCGAAAAAGTACGAATTGATTTGGATTCTACGCACCAAAATTAATCAGAAAAAGTGTTTTCCCGAGAAATTTTGGTGTAGTCGATTTTTGGTAAAAAAGGAAGGTTGTACACTGCCTTTTTTGAGGCCCGAAAAAAAAAATTGTCTCAGAACGACCAGAAAAAAAATGTTCTTATAGAATGTGGCCTGTAGAATCCATAATTTCAAACAGTTCCAAGATTGGGCTACTAGTTCAAAAGTTACAGCCCTTTTAAGTTTTCTTTCGAAATTGGTTTCTTTAGTAATAATAATAATAATATATATATTCATCCTGTAAGACAAACAAAGTGTATAGGACAAGTCAATTAAACACAAAAGACAAACATTTGACAACATTTAACTGATGAAATCTTCCACAGAATAAAATAAATTTGCCAACAGGAAGATTTTGAGTTGCCGTGTGAAGGTAAACAGTTTCGGCGCGTTCTTGATTTTGGACGGGAGTTTATTGAACATTTTTACCCCTATTATATGTGGGCTGGCTTTGTTAATATTTGTTCTTGCAAACGGTATGCTGAGGTTACTTGTAGCTCTCGTTTCGTGTTCGTGTATGTCACAGTTTCGTTTAAGGTTGTCTTTACGCAGGAATACAAATTTGCACACCTCGAGTATATAGAGGCACGGTAGCGGTAAAATCCGTAGCAGGGTGAAAAGTGGTTTGCATGACTGTAGACTTTTTGCTCCGCACATGCATCTAATGATACGTTTTTGGGTGGTGAAGACTTGTTTCATTGAAGAAGAAGAGCCCCATAGGCATAGTCCATATCTTAGCCTCGATTCGATGCAGCCGCAGTAGAACATTTGCAGTTGCTTGATATCAAGGTAGCAGCGTAGGTAGCGTACTTGGTAGCACATGCGATTTAATGTAACTATTAGGTTGTTATTGTGTGGTTTCCAACTTAACGTTTCATCTAAGGTGATACCAAGGAATTTGGCTGTAGTTGAGTTTGTCAAGGTGGATCCCGATATTGGTATGGTAAAGTGAGGGAGATTTATGTTTTGATGGTTGTGAAATTGCACCAATTGGGTCTTACTTTGGTTTAAGAAAAGTAGGTTTTCATTAAACCAGTTTGCAATACTTTCGACAGTGTCTGTACATTTCGCAATTAATTCCCTCCCTTCTCGGTGGGACACCACAGCGGTTGTGTCGTCGGCATATAAGGTGAGTGTCGCATAGTCATTCACGTTGTTCACGACATCGTTAGTGAACAACGTGAACAGGAGCGGTGCTAAGATGCTGCCTTGGGGAGTACCAGCATTTAGTTCTATGACATCAGAAGAGGCAGTAACGGTACTACCATTGTATCTGTGGGGCAAAGAGACGTACTGCTTTCTGTTCCTTAGGAAGTTTTCCAGCCACTTTAGAGCGTTTCCTCTTATACCGTAACACGATAATTTTTGCAGGAGTCGGTCATGGTTGATGCAGTCAAACGCCTTGGTTACATCGCAGAATAATCCAACAGGAGATTCGTTCTTGCCGATATGCTGTAGCACTTTCTCGTGGAAGAAGTGTAGAGCATCGGAGGTTGACATTTTAGACCTGAATCCAAATTGGTGAGGCGTTAGTATTTTGTATTTGGTTATAAAGTTAACCAATCTCTCTAGGAAGCAATACTCAAAAATTTTTGAGAGCACAGATGTTATCGATATGGGTCTGAAGTTGTTTACGTTGTCCTTCTCCCCTTTTTTGTAGACCGGTACCACTTTTGATAATTTAAGAGATTCCGGGAAAGAGCCCGTATTGAATGACAAGTTTATTAGATATGCTAATGGTGTGGCGATTGCGACGGAAATTAATTTTATCAGGAAACACGGAAAGTCGTCCGGCCCGGCTGATTTTTTGTTTTTTATTTTTCTGTTGATGAGCTGAATTATTTCAGCTTCGCAGAATGGAGAGAGGTAAATGGTGTTTCGATTAATGGGAATTTTGTGCAGACTGTTCCCATTACGTTGTATATGCTTAATGGTGTTCAACGGGGAGTTTTTAAAGTGGTCGTTAAGGGTGTTCGCCACATCATATGGGTCGTCAATAACGCCAGTTGGCGTCCGTATCTGGAGATTTTCGATGTTCTTCGCTTTACGATTTATGAACGCCCAGGCAGTCTTGACCATGTTGTCAGATTTCAGAATCCTGCTCTGGATCGCAGCTTTTCGGGTAGTGCTAACTAGCGCGATGTGTTGTTTCTTCATTATCTTGTGGATTGGTTTGTAGTCTATAACTTTTGATTGAGAAGTCTGATCGAAAAAGTACGAATTGTTTTGGATTCTACGCACCAAAATTAATCAGAAAAAGTGTTTTCCCGAGAAATTTTGGTGCAGTCGATTTTTGGTAAAAAAGGAAGGTTATACACTGCCTTTTTTTGAGGCCCGCAAAAAAAATTGTCTCAGATCGACCCGGAAAAAAATTTTCTTATAGAATGTGGCCTGTAGAATCCATAATTTCAAACAGTTCCAAGATTGGGCTACTAGTTCAAAAGTTACAGCCCTTTGAATTTTCTTTCGAAATTGGTTTCTAGTCTATAACTTTTGATTGAGAAGTCTGATCGAAAAAGTACGAATTGATTTGCATTCTACGCACCAAAATTAATTAGAAAAAGTGTTTTCCCGAGAAATTTTGGTGTAGGTAGTTGATTTTTGGTAAAAAAGGAAGGTTGTACACTGCCTTTTTTGAGGGCCGAAAAAAAAATTGTCTCAGAACGACCCGGAAAAAAATACTTTGGTAAAAGAGCAGTTGTTATTTCATAATTACTATAATAACCTAATTAGTAGTTATGGTTTAGGTATTACTATATTTTCAGTAATTCCATTACATGAAAGTGACTGAATTACTTACACTTAATTATGATAGTAGGTAGTATAATTGTAATGAGTAGGTAATCGCTTTAAAATTGTGTTTATTTTTTATTATTATATTGTGAGGATACTCAATCTGTTTTATCAATCCTCCGAAATGTTTGCCCCTAGGAGACTTATGATGCAAGATTCTTTGGACTGCATCACATAGAAAAGATCCATGCATATTTTAGATTTTACTATAGATACTTACATCTCGCTTACAAGACAGAACATATTTTTTATACAAAAAATTACACAATTTACTAATAATTTGAAGCTAGTGAAGCACACAAAACAGTAAAAATACAATAGTTAAAAGCATTAATAGAAACTTTGTATTGGCACAAACTGTTCACAAAACAATCCAACAGCCAATTGAATTTATTTGAGGAACTTAAAACTACCTCTCATGACAAAAACTACAAAATCTGTGTGTTACTATATACACAAGTCAACTATTTTAACAAAATCATCTGTTAGTGGCATTTCTTGCGGTAAGTCCCAATCCCACGATAAAAGCTACAATTGTAAAACCCTGAGCTGCGATTCTCATCCTCATCATTTTTTGTGACATTTGCGGCCGGCCCTGTTTAAAACTCCAAAGGCCGTAGCATAAAGCAGCGACAGTTGCCAAACACCCTAAAACACGGAATAGGTCTCCTTGCATTTGCATTAATCGGCGGCTCACCGATGGGCACCAGAGGATTCTCCTTCATTTTACGTTTCATTTTCGCCTGCATCGTTTCCGCTTGGGCCATTTTGTCCAGGTCGTCGCTGAGTTTGATCCATTCTAATTCAGGCGGTGGGCTTTCAACTTTAACGACCATTATTTTAAAATTGCTTTCACTTTTATAAAAATTATGAAAAAATGTTGAGGTTATGTTTTGACAGTTAAAATCCCATCCGACAAAAATGCCGTTAGTTCAAATCTTTTTTTATACACCGTTCCCGAATGATATTACGGGGGTGAAAACTGTTGCATTGAGAACGAGTCCGAGAATCTTATTGAAAAAAATCATTTTTAGTATAAATGTGGCTTATACAAAAACAAAAAGAATAGTATTGGTCCCAAACTCTCAAAAAATGTAAAAATAGTCCCCTAATTACCACTTCAATTGAAAATAATTGTTACCACTTAATTAAACACTTTGAGGATGGAACAGGAAAAGAAATCAAAAACCATGATAGGGTAACAAACGATTATATCTCTGGAATGTTACATGCAGCTGAATTTGTTATTAATGAATACACACATAATAAATTATATGAAACAAAATACAGTTGGCAATTAAAGTAAGTTAAGTTGTTTTAAATATATTAATTATAGATTGTAATTCGTAAATTATAATCAATTCTTGTTTTATAATTATAATAATCGGTGACTAGAATTTGCTTGATCACAAAGTGCTAACCTAATCGTAAAAGATTTATACATACAAAGGAAGTCCATTAATACTTCTAAAATTGGTAACTTAAGAATGTGTAACGCAATAAATAAAGTTAAATTTTTTTTTAAGTAGTTCGTACTACTATAACCTGTCGACTACAATTAGAAGCAACCAAAAGATATTATGTAACGATAATACTATACATGAATTATTTACAACGTATCAAATGCTAAAATTGGCATTTTTTGACTATTACAGCTGCATTAAGTCACAACTCGTTTAATATCAAACATCGTTCAGTGGTAAAAAAAATAGTCATCACAATTCGTCTCATCTGAGCTCACTCGACGTAACCAAAAAAAATGAACGCTTAGAATTCATTCAATTCCAAACGTATTAGTTTCTTCAACCGCCAGCAGCAATTTCTCATACAAGACCTCTATCGTTGGATACGGTGGTAAATCAAGACGGTTAAAACATGTGTGCGCTCTAGGAAGACTATTCGGTTTACCCCACTTTTCTATACAGAACTTCCTAGGACCTATGGAACCTCTTAACGCCGCGAATCCCTCGTACGGTATACTCGACGTGCCCGTCACAAATTGCAGCAGACGCAACCTTTGCTCATTCGAAAACCTACAATTACAGAAATAACATTCGGCTCATTACAAAACAGTAGTAGGTACCTCTCGATCGCCTGCCAGAACCACACGACCACGGGATGCTGGTCGTGGTACCCGCCGCGGTATTCCGTGTTCTGTCGCCAGTCGACCAGATCGATCTCCGCCGTTCCCGCCATTACGAGCTCCAGTTCGCGCGCGTCGAAGACGCTCACGAGCCTCGGATCGACGACCTCGTAGAAGCCTCTGACTAGGCACTCGGTCTGTTCCGAAACGCCCCTTTCCAGCCGCCATCGAACCACGCGCTCCAAGTATTCCTAACAATAATCAAAAATTCAGATCAGAAAATCAATTGCAGGATAATTATACACAATTAAAGATTGGAGAAACGCAAATCATTTTTAGGGACAAAATTCTGTTTTGGTGCGTGCATCCACTACCCCCCCCCTAGGGTAGTCATCACCTTCAAAGCCTCTTTCGCTGGGGGCCTGGAATGAAGCTTCGAAGGCTCTCCCTGGAAAATGATAACAAGTATTGATGATTCTAAACGTTTTGGTAGAATATCGTATGACTGGAGGGTCCGCGGGTATGGAATACACCCCCCCCCCCACCGAGATGAGTACTCCCTTGAGCACATTTACATTCCTCAGTACTTGTCTTCACCTTCGAGGGAAAACAGTCAAAGTCTTTTTCCCTGGGGATTTGGTATGGAGTGCCCCGGAGGAAAAGGAGCTACAATACTTTTCCCGTGAAAATAATCACGACAAATATTGATGATTCTAGACGTTTTGAAAGAATATCATATGACCGGGGGTGGGTGGGTATGGAATACTCCCCAGGGAAAAATGTCCTCAGGACTTTGTCTTCGTTATTCTCCAGAGAGAAGCATAACCTTTTTGTGGCTTCCCTCCAAACCTCCCGGTGACAGTGGCGGACCCAGAGAAACTTCTCAGGGGGGGCACATTGTGAATATAAAAAACCTTAGTCGAAAATTACAGATTGATTGATATACAAGAAGAGATATATATAGGTGGGGTAGGTCAGGATTCCATTTCAAACAATAAATTCAAGTCTTCGATGGTCACATACAGTATCAGGGGTTGGTACTGGAACCGAAAAGAACTAGTACCGGAACCCATTGCATTTATAAGTCCTTCACTTTGAATTGGAACCGTTATTTAAGAAGTTACGATAACGGTTATTATTAGTGCCAAAGAAGTGGTATTCTCTCTCTATTGTAGGTATAGTAGATACGTTGCACTTTGTGAGAGGAAAATGCGTTTTTTATTGTTGCTCTTAAAATTTGCTTTCGGCTTGCTCTACTTTTCCTTGTTTGAATCATTATTTAGTTCTGTAGTAGTATCAATAAAAACGCCTTGATTATTAATATATCTTATCACAGATCACTGATCCAGTATCGATTAGATGGCCAACAATAAAATCTTTCCTTCTGAATTAATTTACTTAACTTGCAAGAAATTTCAAAATCCAAAAATTCAAATTCTCACTTTTATTCAGAGCTGCCCATTAATTTCTACCAACTTAAACCTAATACTAAACAAATATAAAATTTTTAGAGTGACCAAAAATGAATCAAAAACAGTAAGAGGTTATTTATGTTGGAACTCTTAAAAAAAAAAAACTGGAACCGGAACCAAAAATTACTGAAGCCACAGAAGTGGAACCGGTACCGGAATGGGTTCCAAGCCCTGCATAGTACACATTTTTATAAAGATACAAAGTGGGAAATGTAATGGAAACAATTGAAATAGTAAAGAAGATTTTTCCTTTTCCGGAAGGGGCAATTGCCCCCTTTGCCCCCTGCTGTATCCGCCACTGTTCCAACAGTAGCAAAGGTAATGAATAGCAAACCTGACAAGAGTTGTGTTTCACTTCTAGTTATGATAGCATGAAACTGAATCTTCAGCCACATTCATATTAAAAAAGGTATTCCAGGTTCCAGGAACCACCTATGTGTCACTCAGATTTTGTCAATAGCAATAAGAATCTTTTGAAATAATTACCTTTTTATTTTTTTCAGTAACAGGCACATTCCTCCCTCCCGGTTTCAGTTCGCGTTCGAGTACCTGACCAAAAACTTCTTCCGTAACCGAAAAGGTTAACTCGAGCTCTCCCTGCATCGACACGTCATTCTCCCTTATCCACTGCAACGACTGGTGAAATTCGAAATCTAAACTTTCCAGATCGGAAAGTGCGACTGGTAAACGTAGTAGCGCTTTATAAAAGGGCCTCGTAAAAAACGCGTCTAATAAATATTGGTGAACTAACGCTAAACCTAAAACACGCCCACTAAATCGAAACCTGCAAGTTGACGGTTAGTTAAAGTTGCGCCGGTGGGTAGACTAACCATTCGTGGTAGTTGTCCACGAAGGCGGACATAGGCGAAACTTGTACCGTGTAAGTATCATTGGCGGAGTATTCGAAGAGTCCGTAGTAAGGATTGAAGAGTTCGCGCGAGAGTAGGAAGAAAAATTCGCGCGACGGTCCTCCGTAGTCCAGACCCTCTTCGTTGTCCCACACCACGCAGAGCTTTCCCTTCTGCAACTCTTTCTTGTTGGCGGACATGATACGTCTGAAGGCATCTTCGAGAAGATGATCACGACGGATGTGTAATCTGCGCGAGGTAATTAATCAAAGTGAGATTTACGAGACTGGATACTTACTTGAATTTGCCCGGTCCCTGACCGTAGCCCTTGCTTTCCAGTTTTCGGTAGAAATTTCGGAGTTTCGCCTCAAAGTCGCGCCTGTGCGGTGCGGGGGTTCGATGGCGACTTAAGCCGGGCGACGCGACCGGGGACGGTTGAGGTGAACCTCTCGGACTTCGACTAGATGTGGTGGATGGAACGGCTGGCACATATGACATAATCTCTTGCTCGAACAAGCTGAAAGCATTTTTTTTAAGAGTTTGCTGCTGAGGGACAATGAACGTTTAATGTGGGTAAATTTTGATTAACACCTTCCGGTTACATGCACTTAAGTTCATGTAAACTCAAAAAACAATTACACATTTACATAATCAGTCTTTCTCTCTTAAAAGTAAATAGAAATGTCAAAACATATTTCCGTATGTTTATTAAATTGCAATTAGGGTCTTGTGTGACGATCAATCAAGCATAATAATGTCCCTGACATCAGCCCCCCAACTTCTCACATCATTGTGTTGTGTGTAATTTACCCAAAAAATTAGAAATTCACTTCTTCCACTTTCATGAGCCGATTTCTAAGTTTGCACTCATTTCATCGTTCAAACAAACACTTTTGCATTTTCCCATGAAGACCAGAGCAAAAGTGGTCTGCTTATGAATATTTCATTAATATCAAAATAAATGCATTAACCTTGAGCCATATGAGAACAACCATGAAATTGACGAATCCTAACTATAATCATTATTAGTTATTTTTTTTCATGTTAAAAATTAGTCCCAGATCCTTTCCTTATATAACAAAATCTATTAATGAACAAATTATATGTTATTGTCTCGATTGTCACAACTTCTCACAACCTTGTCGGTTACATAATTCTATAAGATAGCGGCCGATTTGAAAAAAAAACTGCATAAACAAAAGGTACTGAATTAGATCGAACAATAACATTTGAGGCTTAAAATAAAATTATTAAATAAATCCCGGGGTCATCGATCGAAATTACCTGCGATTACTCATTTGCACATTGCATGATGATGTGACCACCTCGATATGTAGGTAATGAGTGTTACACTTTTAACACGAGATGAGCTCGTCCTTTGTGATGAAACATTATAAATTAATTAAATTAAATCAGTGTGTGAGTGGTAAATTATTTTTATATTGCCGAAATATATTTTCAGGGCCAATTCTGTAACTCACTTGCCCAAGAGCCTAATTTTTTAAACAAAGTAAAATAATTACCAAGGTAATTCGTTTAAAAAAAAAATCTGGAGTCCAGTGTGTGAGATTTTCGTTCGCCATGAAACTTGGCACGGTTTTCGTTTATATGTTCAAAGGCAAATATCATCCGGATGTTAATAATAGAACGATGATTGTTTTTATTAATGATTGATGCGAAATTTTGTTGTATATACATTTATTTCCACTTATACCATGACAGAACTACTATTCTGTCATAATAAAACCTACAAAAAAATTGAATTGAAAAACAGCAGATTTTTGTATGTTCTCAGTCCCGAAAGTGCAACATAACAAGTAGTCCAGGCTATATAATATTTTTGTATGAAAAAATTAGTTACCGGGCTAAACCGGGTTTTTCAGGCAGGTGGAATGAATAGAATTTGGGAAAAAATAATTAAAACAGCTGAATTTTTCCGCGGGAGAAATCACGGGGGTTGAAAGGGGTGGAAAGTGGTATTTTGCAAATTGTGGTAAAACTATTGATTTTAGAAGAAAATGTTAAATGTAAAAGTTATAGAGATTAAAAAAATGAGCAACTTTTGTATCTGCACTATTTTCACATAACTCCAATTTTCCTAGAAAAACCGGAAAAACTGTTTTTTTCGTTTTTTATTCTTATTTTTGCGAAAAAATGTCGTAGGGGTTTGAAATTTGGAGGTAACATATTATTAACCTGTTTTATGTTAAAACAGAAAATAATTGTTTGGGCCCGTAAAGTTGAACCGTTTCCAAGATCTCACGATTTCTGAAAAAAACACCTCTTTTTCAAGGGGATGAAAAATCAATTTTTTTTCATCGTACAGAGGTGCGCGGGCTAGCAAAATTTTCGGGAAGACTTATATTTTAATAAACAAAAATAAAAAAAATATTATTCCTATAGCAAAAATTCGAGAAAATCGCCAAAAACCGGAAAAACAGTTTTAAGATATACACGGTGTTTGACATGATAAATCAACATGTTGGATGTTAATAAAGATTTTTTCGAAATCTGTCTTCTTCCTTCTTTTTAATGATTGCCTAAATATTCTCTTTTGTTATCTTATGCTCAACTGTTTTAGTTAAAACATCTTTATTATTTCTTTTTTCTGCATTTTTACCGCAATAAAAGCAATTCGAAATAAAATCGAATTATGTATCTTGCTTCCTGATTCTTGAACAATTTATTTTTGTTCACTGACTTCTTCCTGCTTGTTTTATAGCTGATGCAATTGCGTTGGGCCTGTTGATAAACTTGCAAAATCTGCAATAAGAACGTTGGTTTTACCGGCCAAAGCAAATGATTTGAGATGTCAAACCTGCAGGAATAAACTTTATGAGGATTTTATTCATAATTCCTGTAAATTAACGGTCAACAGGCCCAGCTTAACCCGTCAGCTGTAAAACCGGCAGGAAGAAGAGTTAGTGAACAAAAACATATTGTTCAGGAAGCAAAAGAATTCGATTTTACTTCGAATTGCTTTTATTGCAGTAAAAATACGTAGAAAAAAGAAATAATAAAGATGTTTTAATTAAGGCAGTTGGGCACTGGGGAACAAAGAAAATCTTTTAGCAACATTAAAGAGGAGAGAGAAGACAGATTTCCAAAACTTTTTATTAGCGCGGATCCAACACGTTAATTTATTTGCAAAAAAGCCTATTTACCTACTGTAAAAAACGGTGTATCTTAAAACTGTTCCCCCCGTTTTTGCCGCTTTTCTTGAAATTTTTCTATTGGAATAATGTTTTTTATTTTTGATTATTAAAATGTAAGTCTTCCCGAAAATTTTGCTACCCCGCGCACCTCTGTACGATGAAAAAAAATAGATTTTTCATCCCCTTGAAAAAGAGGTGGTTTCTTTACAGAAATCGTGAGATCTTGGAAACGGTTCAACTATATGGGCCCAAACAATTATCTTCTGTTTTATCATTAAACAGGTTATGTTACCTCCAAATTTCAAATCCCTACGACATTTTTTCGCAAAAATATGAATAAAAAACGAAAAAAACAGTTTTTCCGGTTTTTCTAGGAAAATTGGAGGTTATGTGAAAATAGTGCAGATACAAAAGTTGCTCATTTGTTTAATCTCCATAACTTTTACATTTAACATTTTCGTCTAAAATCAATAGTTTTGCCACAATTTGCAAAATACCACTTTCCAACCCTTTCAACTCCAGTGATTTCACCCGCGGAAAAATTCAGCTGTTTTAATTATTTTTCCCCAATTTCTATTCATTTCACCTGCCTGAAAAACTCGGTTTCGCCCGGTAACTAATTTTTTTTGAAAATAAATTATTTTAGAGCTATTTAGCCTGGACTAAAGTATTTATCTCATATTTTAAAATAAACATACAACACCTAATGATGTATTTAAAATATTATGTGAGAAAAACAATCGATATAGAGATTATTATTATTATTCTATAATTTTTAGTTCCTGTACATTATTGGGGAGTATTTTCGAGTGACTGATCGTCATAATACACCATATAAAAAATGTTTCATTTGAGAAGAGAATAACATCAGACTTTTTAAATAAACTCGCTCTAAAATTTAAATATATTGCTGTGTACGTTTGGACCTTTTTTACGAACCAAAAATAAAGATAAAATTTACAAGATTATAATGCTTTTCGTACATTAAGTGCGACTACCTGCATACAACAATCAATTAATTAATATTATAAAACAAACCAGAGAAAAAGTTACAGAAGTCACAATAATAATACAAAAAAATAGAAATTAAATATGGTAGTTATCATGAGTCACAACTAACAACTGCAAATAAAAATAAAAATATGATTTTACATTTGCATGTTTGATTAAGAATACTAACAAATTACACAGCAAGCAATGAAATCACTGGTTACAAAAACGCATCTCTTTTACAAATTAATTTGTGGTAGTAGTTCATTATAATATGAGAATCATCATACATTATTAGACATCTTTGCTGGGCTTTCAGGTGGGCAAATAATATTCGCACGGAGAAAAGGACAAACGCTAGTAATAAAGTGAAATAACTATGTCAAACTAAGAGAATGTTCCTTTGACCTAATAAAAGATAAGTTCTAATTTTGTAGAATTTCAAGCAAGAGACTGTGGATAGGACGATTTTCAAAGTATCCCAATCCTTTGGAAAATAATTGAAGAAGACTTGGTAGCATGGTTTCTAGTACATAACTGATTTAGTTTAGTTACTAGTTCAATCAAGGGATTGGTCACGGCTTATTTTAGAGGACAAACATTGTCTTCATTGCCTACCAACATTTCCCCAATATTTCTAGCATTGCCTTAAATTTCCTCAAATCGAGTTTTCATCGGCTATTGCATGAGGTTATGGGTTCACAAGAAGTGTTGTGAATATCGTGTCGAGAGTAAAAGAAATTGCCAGTTTCGATCTCCGGGTTGTCGTCGAAGGGTCAATCGCGATAGTGATTTTTGACACGTGTCGCTCTACAGGGTGTTTTTTTGGGAGCTTTAGTTAAACGTTTCTGGGAAAGTAAAATAGGTAGGTTTTTGAAAATTTGTACTTACGAGTTACTCTGAAGGCCGAATCGATGTAAAATATTTTCAAAATGGCCGCACTTCCGGAAACACCGGAAGTAGATAGTAACTTCGTTATTTTAAATGGCAACCCCTATTTTGCATTTTTGGATTCTACGTGAAATTTCAATTCTTTTGATACCCATATGTTGATATCTGCCATTTATGGTTTTTAAGTTATTTTGACTTTAAGAAAAAAAATGGCGGATGCAGATGGTACCTTGATAATTGATTACTTGAAAACGGTTGTAGTCATGGCAACCCATTTTTATCAGTGCATAGAGAATGAATAGGGCTTTCTTTTAGTGTAAAGTTGCGTAAAACCGCACCTATGGAGATCCAAATTTAAGAAACTTTAAAGTCTATAAACTCAGTTTTTTTAAATGGAATGACCCTGTTTTTACTATTGCATGAGATAGAGAATCGAAATTGGCATATTTTGATATTACATGTGTTCCTATAGCTATCTTTAACAGTTTCTGACTTATTCCCATTTTATTGAATTAACACTGTTTTTTTCGGATTTTCTTTTTAGTAGTCGGCCATGATTTTATAACAATCGAATTTTAAACAAATCTAGTGACACTAATCCATCACCCACTTTTATAGGTTAACATAAGTTTTTCAAAAATCGAAAAATGACTCGCAGTGGTTTGACCTATTTTGGAATTTAATTGTGATTTATGGTGAAATGAACAGAATCGCGGCACGTGCTTGCCGTACATTCATTCGAACACTGGAACGAAATTGTATGAATTTTGGAGATTTTGTACCCCTAATGCACTACAAACCATTGAAGCACAAGTGATACAAAGCTTTACAAGAGAATATTTAAGAGAATCAATTGAATTGCAAATGCAAGATTAACAAAATAAATTCAATGCAAAATATAAAAAACTTCGTTGAAACATTTTTGGTATGGAATTGTTGCTAGAACAGATATACCTCTCTTAATTTCCAGACTTATACGTTGTTTAAGAAATTCAGTTGAACGACTCTGTCTAGATTTTTCAAAAATTTTCCGTCCTATATCCTTAACAAAAAACTTATTTACCTATTAATGAATTATTTAGACTAGAATCAATGATATTAACGAATCCATTCCTTGATTTGTTTAAAATTCGATTGTTATAAAATCATGGCCAACTACTACAAAGAAAATGCGAAAAAATCGCATCAATTCCTAGATCAATTCAATGAAATGGGAACAAATCAGAAACTGTTAAAGATAGCTATAGGAACATGTAATATCAAAATATGCCAATTTCGATTCTCTATCTCATATAATAGTAAGAACAGGGCCATTCCATTTAAAAAAACTGAGTTTATAGACTTAGTTTCTTAAATTTGGATCTCCATAGGTGCGGTTGTACGCAACTTAACTTTTTTTTTAAGTACACTAAAAGAAAGCCCTATTCATTCTCTATGCACTGCTAAAAATGGGTTGCCATGACTACAACCGCTTTCAAGTAATCAATTATCAAGGTACCATCTGCATCCGCCATTTTTTTTTCTTAAAGTCAACCATAAATGCAGATATCGACATATGAGTATCAAAAGGATTGAAATTTCACGTAGAATCCAAAAATGCAATAAAAAATAGGGGTTGCCATTTAAAATAACGAAGTTACTATCTACTTCCGGTGTTTCCGGAAGTGCGGCCATTTTGAAAATATTTTACATCGATTCGGCCTTCAGAGTAACTCCTAAGTACAAATGTTCAAAAACCTACCTATTTTACTTTCCCAGAAACGTTTAACTAAAGCTCCCAAAAAACCACCCTGTATACAGTTCATATAGGAAGATTCCTAATTCATATAGAAAACTTAAACAGAAAAAAATAAATCAATCCAGTGAGAGAGAATCACAATTCCAATGCTATAAGCGTTCATTTGAAGCAAAAGATATTTCATACACAGCATGTAAGAAGTAATAGAATTTTTCCAAATTAACCGAGTGTCAAAAATATTTTATGAATTGCCCTCAAAAAATACTGAATTATTTTTTTTGTGCCAGTCATAAGGGCCACACAGTTTGAAACATTTTTCAAAAATTTTAAGAAAATTTTTGAAAATTCCTACTTTTCAAAATATACCAAATTCCTATTTTTTTCATGATCGCAAAGATTCGAGTGTTGCAAAAATTCCTACTTTAAGATAAACGAAGAAGATCGGTAAACCGAAAAGTAACTTTTGTAAATTTGAAAAAACTAACAAAATGAATGCTTTTTAGAGACGATCTGATTATTTAGAAAATATGCGTACGTGACCATTGCCGCATTCGGCTTCAATTAAAGCAGGAAACGGCAATCGTCGTTATCAATTCACTTGCTATCTATTTACGTATGCAAACATTCCGAAACGATAACCGACCAAGATATTAGATTTTGGAAATCTCTTATCGATTCGATAGCAAGCTTACCGATTTTGAAATCGACTTCCCCTACAGATTGGCAAGTGAAAAATACTTCAAATCGCTCTCTCAAATTCGACGAGATCATTCATCTATTGTGTGCCGATTTACAATCTTGGAGAAGCCCTCGAGATTGGAAACCCGTGGATTGAGACGCATAAAGCTCAAATTTTGAGTGCAAAAGCCGCCACGGGCAAGTTTTCAAAACTTCGCGACGGTCAATTTTTCTCTGTCCGTCTGTTCGTGTCGTAACTTCTACAGTTTCCCAAGATGGCGGAAGATTTTGATTGACTTGCGAGTCAGGTTTTTCAAGTTTGAAAATAACTAATGGTCGGGTACACATTTTGAGTTTAACGTGTCTTTCAGAGTTCATTGTATATTTCGAGCGAATTTTTTATCATAGGTACATAGTTCTCGCGTCGGAATAATCAGAACTTATTGGGCAATAATTGTAATAGTGTTTTCGTTGTAGCGTCGTGGGTATGTAAAGGAAACGGTTAACGATCTTGTTTACCTGTTTACGATCGTAAAGGTTGACTTCTAAAAATATGCTATGGTGTATTTTTATTTTTAAAAACAATAATACTCAAAAAAATATGGCAAAGTCGTTAGTTCTATACAGTCTGTTTCAAATTAAGTCGGCACTATTCCCAACTTTCTTATTTGTAAAGTTGGAAAGACGGTTAAATTATTAAGAATGTGTATTTTTTCTACTGAAACAAAATCTGTAACTAAAAAAACAAAACAACAATCGCATTTTTTTAGATAATAACAAAAATGCAACTTTGTTGTATGAACACTTTGTATATCATATAACAGATTATTAAATTCTTTACAAAAGTTCTTAATAGCCAAAATAGTTTAGGTAAATAACCCAACATTTTTCAGTTATTTCCAGTTCAATCTAGTTATCCATGAAAATGTAAAATGACGTTTATTTAAAAAAAATGATGTGTATTTGCGTTGTGTTGATGTGCTCATTTTAATTAACCTGTAACGATAGAATTGCCTTGGGGAAGTAAGAGAGGTAGATTGATCTCCCCTCTCTTACTTCCCCAACCAGTTCTATATATTTTTCCAAAAGTTTCTTATTTCGAAAAACCTCTCGGGGTTTCTCGAGAAACAATGTATAGAATGATGATTTGCCACTACTTCCCTTCCCCAAAGTAATACATTGCCTTAATAATGCCATTAATTTCTTAAAAATTGATTTTCTCTCCATTTCTGCAGAAATGTCTTGTTTTTCCTCTTTTCTCTCAGAGCAGCTGACAGATGCCCATGATAAAAATAAAAAATTCGGTCTTTTCCACTTTTACAGTCGCAGATACGAGCAATAAAAAGGCAGACGCGCGTCGTGCCCTTGAATAATGATAAGAGGAAAATTTGATAAGATACAGCAGAAAAACATTATATACAATTACAGACGATAACAAATTGCGGTAATAACAATGGCCGCACGTAAACAACAATTGAAAATACAAATAATCTCTGAATGTATAATTGGGTGCTATATCCGAATTGTTATTCACATTGAAGACGAAGGTGCATTTTTTTGGCTTTGGACCATTGTAACCACCATTATTTTGCATTCTGTGAATCGCGTAGTGAAATTTCAAATTGGGTCTTTCGAAAGATTATCCAAAGTAAACATTGATAACTGCGATTTTCCGAATGTGTAACATCCTTCCGTAGTCGTCACCTGTCGCAAAATTGTGACTCAGAAAACGCCGCATCAATAATTGAAACAAATCACGTAATAATTGTGAACTGATCTCATAGCGTTTCGATTGTCTTAATAAAACGCGGCCTTGCCCGAAAGCTGCTGCACGCCGATCTCCTTTCCTTCCAGAAATTAGCGCCTCTCTTCTGCACAGAGAGTGCAATTGTTTTAAATGATGTAATTTCGCACATGACATCGCGTGTTATTAAAAAAGCAATGAGCGAAGAATAGGTAAACATTCGTGACTAGGCACGGACCCCCTTTTAATTTATTTTAATTTATTAAGACGACGCCGTCTTTTTCTATTCCACCCGACCAAATTGCGGGCATCGTAATTGCCGGAAATTGTAATGAATCGAACAATGCATTTAGTTTGACACGGCGGCGTAAAGGACAGTGATCCGTCCACGAAATTATTGTTTATTATAATTTCAAAATACACGCTTTGCTGCTCGTCCAAAAAATGAGGATGTTTGATAACCCCCAAGTTTATCAGCAAAGTTGATGCGCTCAACCGTCCACCACTATTTATAGCCAAATAAACAAAAAAAGTCCCTCAAAAACCGTTAATTATCATAAATGAGGGAGCATCAAAATAATAGAATTAACCCAGTGACCCCCCCAATTAACGAAGAAAGTTAGGGGTTAATTAATAACGCCTATATCATACTTACAGGCTAAATAGAATTCCTAAAGTTTTGGTAACAATTCCCATTTTGACATTGTTTTCACGAAAATTCGAAAAAAAATTATTGTCGCACTCGCAAAGTCAACAAACTCGAATTTACACATTTAGAGCGATCAAAAATAAATTTCTATAAATACGAGATACACACGGAGTTTCGTAAATAAGTGCACACATTTTTGATACGAAACGAAACACGACCGGTCTAAAATGTGAACTACAAAATAATAATAGTAAGTAGTAGTAGGAAGGTGGACATAACTAAACTACTTGCCATGGGAGAGGGGATGCGATCTATTCTGAAGCATGGTGTCTCGTACTGCACGGTCAGCGGAGCGAGAAAAAAAACACTCCGGAGCACGTGTAAGAAGGGACAGGTAGGGACCTTTGGGAAAAAAATGGCGCGCGCAATTTGTATGTAAATCGCTTTGAAGTAGGTAAACAAACTGATTAGTAGAGAGATTAACGCGAAACTGACAATAACAGATAACATTCCACACAAAGCCCTGTGCAAAAAAAACAACAATAACGCCTTAATTGAAAAGTGAAGGTCCGATAACGTATCCCTGAGGAACTCCGCCCGATCGCATTGCGGCGCATTTTTCAATTCGAAGGGCCTCGCGCGGTCGATCCCGACCTAACGGGAATCTTTCTCGAAGTGAAAGTGAATAGCGGAGATCGAATGCTACAAAAAACCAGCCGAATGTTTCAATTTTGTTTTAACGCAAAGATTTTAGTGGAAATCCAATTGCTAAAACTGAAAGTGCTTGAAAGAATATGAGCAAAAAAATGGTTAAATGGAAGCAACTGAACAAACACGGCCGGTTTCTTGCGTTCACCCTGTAAATATCGAAATAAGGAAATGTAACCCTAAAGCTCGCCGAATTTAATACTGTTGCTATTAAAATACTTAAAATGTATAAAGCCCTCAAGAACTGGAAGCATCATGAGGTTTCGTCCACCTTTTATTCGTAAAAGGGTTGAAAAAGGACTATTATTGTAGCGTGACCATTTTTATGGAATGGAATGAAACCTATCGTGTTAAATTGATTGGAAAATGGATGCTCCAAATCCAAATAAGGGTAGATACTTAAGATTTTTATTCAACTTTAGTTTAGCTATGCTTATGGATATTTTTTGCGATTAAATTCCCCCGGTCAAGTTCTTTACAACTACACACATTATAAAGCTGCAGAGCAAAGCAATTCGTTTCAAACTTTGCACAGTTGACCTATATGCCACATGTCCTATTGAAAATGGGTCAAATCCCAATGACCCGTAGGGTCATACCGCACTGCCGCTTTTCTAGATCTGCTTTACACGCACTTTATTATTTTTGAGCGATTATACTCAAGTCCTCATGTCAGCATGACCAAATACGGTTTATTATTTATGCGCAGAACAATTTTACAGGAGTAACTTTCTTCTATAATTTTATTTCTTATGAACGTGTTCATTCCCGAAGAATATTTTTAAATAAACTGCAAGGGTATAGACAAGAGAAAAGGTCACTTCCGGTTGACGAGTATTGACCAAAATTTGATCAGAATTGGAATATTCGAGACCGTTCGCGAGTTATTATGTACACAGACGGACGGGCAGAAAATCCAAATGACCAAAATTTAATCAGTTAGTCCCTTGACCATTGTCTACCTACTACTGAAAACAGAATTGGAAAATTCGAATCCGTTCGTAAGTTATCATATAAACAGACGGACGGACAGACAGTTCAAAATCAAGAAACTGGCGTTTTGTCGCTCGTCAATAAAGGTTTACTGAATTTAAAGGCTCTTCTTTGCTATTAAAAGTAGTGGTCGCGCATAGAAAAAGACAGTGGGCCCTTCTAATAAACCCGAAACGAACAGCGGAAGCTGTGCATACGTGTGCTCCTTAGTAAGAGGGGAAAAAAGAGCGCAAAGCAAAAGACGAGTACGTGCTGTTGACAAAAGGGCGCAGCAATTTTCTCTAAACATGTGACAGCTGTCTCTCCCTATAAAAAGAAATAAAAAGCGCAAATCAAAATACCGTGTGCGATAAACTCCTCCGGAAAACTCGAATTGACGACTGCGGAATATTCGCCCCTAGGAAATCCCCTCTCCCGGTAAGTTTACTGCCACTATCAAATATATCTCGGTCAAGTTTCCTTAGAGGAAAGTATAACGAAAGCAATTTTTTGCGGGTGATCCTTTAGGTGACAAATATTCTGGGGCATCTTCGAGTTTTCCAACGCCAGTTACCAGAGCGAGTGGAAACTTTTCCGTAGGCATACTTTCCGAAGGCTAATTTTCCGGGGGCGAATCTTCCGGGGTAGTGGTGCAGTCGGTGTAGAAACGCTCACCATGTTCTGAAAATTGACTTACATGGGCGATTCAGAATTCTTACAGGGTATGAGAAAGCTTTCGGAGCCCAAAAGTGTATTGAACGTGACGGGGACTAGGTTAAAACATGTGCAAAGGAAAACAGTTATGGTATAAACATACAACGAAACTGCGCACACCTGATGTTTAAAATATGCGATATGTTTGCCTTTACTACAAGAATCTTTGGTTAAAGTTTCAAAAAAATATTTCCATAAATAAGAAAGATTACATTGCGCAGTTTGCGCATGCGCACATCTGATATTTGCATATGCGATATGCTTGCCTTTACTAGAATATTTGGTTAAAATTTCAAAAAATATCTCTATAAATAAGAAAGACAAGTTACCGAATGCAAAAAGAACAAACTAAACATCTTGAAAACTGTAGGAGTAGTTAAGGCCTCTGACGGATAGACGGATAAAGTGGCCATAATAGCGCCTTCCAACATGAGTTGGAAAATGGGCTAAAAATAGCTACAAGTCAAAGATTTCAGAATCTGTAATTGGTTGGAATAAAATTATGTTTACTATGCGAAAAAGCATTGGAGACCTTAATTTACGCATCACTCTCGTATACAGTGTGATTGATTTTACGTGTCCAAGCGTACATTTCGTTTATTATTGAACATAGCAAAAAAGTGTAAGAAGCAAAAATGCTCTACTTTCAATTTCTGATCAAGTTACATATTTAAAAATGCAAGTGATGTAAAAACAAAAAAGTATCAGAAAACAAATTTATTTTTTTAAATAGAACGGATACTTTTTCTGTAATATTTTTAAAGACAATGTTATCAATTACTTATTAATTTATTATAATTCCCTTAGAAATTAAAGCTATAGTAATGTGTTTAGAACCAATCGCAGTAGCTGTGGAGATTTAAACAAACACATAAAATTGATGTGACATCAGTAAACTTCATGTGATAGATCAGTAGCTTTCAAGGTAAGTGACAAACTATAAGCTTTTGAAAATCAAAAATTCGCTTTCGATAGCAAGAACCTAACGCTGTAATCTCGAAGCTATACGATGTTCTGTTACCGATTTATCGATCGATTTATAAAGGCATCTCTTTCGATTTCAGCTTGCTGAATAACCGATGCAGGAATAACTCGTTAATACGAACCTAATTCCGAAAATCCTAAGACAGGAAAATGATAAATTATGGATTTCAGAAATAGCTTTCAGATTAAGAGATGCAGCAATAGCACGATAGTAGGAATATAATACTGAAAACCCGAAAGTTCTACAAAATTCCGTTGCCGAGAGCTTAAAAGGCGAACGAACAGTCGGCAATTAGTGAAATAATAAGCTCCTTTTTGAAAATGTCCAATAACATGTTTTTACCACAAACTAGTGGATACACATACTGTTGACTAGTAACTTTTGAACTATTAGCCCAATCTTGGAACTGTTTGAAATTATGGATTCTACAGGCCACATTCTATAAGAAATTTTTTTTCTGGGTCGATCTGAGGCAATTTTTTCTTCGGGGCTCAAAAAAAGGCAGTGTATAACCTTCCTTTTTTACCTCGTTTTTTACCAAAAATCGACTACACCAAAATTTCTCGGGAAAACACTTTTTCTTATTAATTTGGGTGCGTAGAATCCAAATCAATTCGTACACCTGGCCCTTAAGTACCCAGTCCGCCCCTGTTTGTCCACCCAAAACATGGCCGCCTACAGCTAATTAAAGGTTAAAGCAACAGATGAAATGCAAACAGCTGAATAAACAAAAAGTAAACACAGTTTTGAACACCGAGAATATGGCCGCCACACGAAAATTTGCTTCAATCAGCCCCCTTTCTTCCAACCAAAAGGTCAAATTGAAGCATATTTGGATCCTTTCCGAGTTGTGAACAGATTTTCCTGAAATTTTCACAGCAAATCCTCCCTATTTTTGGAAACTAAGCGAAGAAAAAATTCCAGCACCAAATTCATCTTTTCGGCAACATGTATCAATATCACTTATAATATTAAGTACCTAGTCACAACGCTAAGGGAGTAAAAAGAAGTACAATACCGTACCTCAAAATGACTCAGTGTGACTCATTTTACCCAGGCAGAGCTCACAATTATCCGAAGCACCATTACAATTCATCCAAAATTAATTAATTGGTGCGTAACACTTGAATTTGTTACAGCACTTTAAATTTCAACCGGGAGAGGGACGGGGAGTGAAATAGCACCGCACTGGGAATAATTATAGCCTGAAGATAAACGGGGATTAGGTGTAACTTTCTGTGGAATCAAAACGAAGTCCGTTCATGCCCAATGACATAAAGCATTGGCGCACACCATGAAATTTATATGCCAAAACAGATTCCCCACGAACATTCGTTCCTATTTGTAAACTCCAACTAACGCACGATTAATTTTAAGAACTGAGACTTATTGCGGTCCTAAAATATCATACGTTTTCAAAACACTCGCCATGAAGAAAACATTCACACCAGGTGGCTGAACAACACCTCCCACGTTAGTCTAAAAAATTAACTCTTTGTGTTCCCAAACATAAAATAGGAGATTTTTAGTACATTTCCGTGTATTGCGACCATTAAAAAATGTGACTCAAACCGTTTTATGCGTTTGCAACAAAAACGATAACATTGGCCGCATTGATTAGGTACGTCCTGACGTCATCCGCAATTACGAAGCGGCAATCTTTTCCGAAAAAATCACCTTGTATTTTTTACAGGTTGAATGGGTTTCGCATCTTAACCCAAGAAACGAAATTTTCGTGTGTGTTAATTATAAACAAAGAGTGTATTATATTATTTTCGTTTCAAGGCGTGGGATAGGTAAATATTTTTAAAATAAATTAAGGAAAATGCACCATTATTTTGATGTCTATTCAAGGTTCGGATGTCAAAAAAATTTAAATTAGTCCGCAATTATAGAAGAACAAGCAGCGCTTCGGGACGAATGGGTAGGGCGATTACAAATGATTATTACGATTTGGTAACTATTAATTAAAATGGAGCAGAACACACACTCAATTTCAGTTTTCGAAAAAATATCGCTAACAATACAACTTATTACAATAAAATTTCACTTTTTTCTGGTTTTCTACGTCTCGTACCGTTTCCCAAGAGCATATTTGCATATCGTTACAGATGTTAATAACAAATTTGCGTATCGCTCCCACTGTGTCAGAAAACTTCGAAAATAGAATTTAGTTTCAAACTGACAGCACGGACGGACGGACAGATCTCTTTTATCTTAATTGTCGTTATATTTTGGAATATTCCCTGATACAGTATTTATGAAAGGAATTTTTCAAACACTTATTGCAAGAGGGGCGCTGCCATTTATTTTCCTAGATGAAGACGGATAATTTCGCCAATTTGGCTCTTAAGAGATTTAAGAAACCGCAAAACAATATGGCCTCTCAATCAATGACATACTTTATAAATAGACCAATAAAATAATTAAATCTCCGTAACTCTTTATTTGGAATCGGATTAAGATATAAACGATTGAAGGATTAGCACTCCGCCTAAATGTGAGCGTAATGAACTGACAAGGTCCCAGGTGACTCTCTTGTTCCAAATTCTAAGATTTGTAGAATGCGTGCTTGAAATTAAAGATCTCATCTCAGTAAATTGATGGAAAATGTTTAAGATTGATGTGGAAGGTCTACCCGCAGCGAATTTTCGTGCTTTCTAACGACGTATCAGATGACCCACGTTGCCATTAAAAAAATTCAAGATGGCGGTCAGACTCAAAAATCATGAGTGTCAACAATTTTTTTAACCTCAAAATTTATGAAATAATTTCAAAATACAACTCACATTTAACATGTGTTGGAGAAAATGCGCTAAAAATAATTATTATAATAAATGTTCAAAATGATGCACACGTAAATCCTTTTACAAAATGAATTCTTCACTCTATTTCACATTTCTGGGGTGATACTTCAACTCATGTTGGAAGGCGATAGAACTACCTACCTGCCGAAACATTAAGTGCCCATTTCTGATTAATAATATTGATTAGAGGTTAAACCGTTCTTTTTAGATAGCAAGTGTGACGTCACACTAAAATTACCCGAGGAATCCAAATATGCAACAATACACAGGGGATGAAAAAAAATGTAACTTTGATATGAATCACCCTGTAAGTATATGGATTCCAATCGAAGTGAAAATATTTTGGTTTGTAGCCATAGGGTTCTCCAGGGGCGGACTGGGTAACTGCGGGCCAGGTGGAGGGGGGGGGGGGGTTAGCTCTGAGGTGCACCACAAAGTACTCCTTTCTCGAAAATAAATTACCATACAGTTTTTTTTTAAATTGCAGCTGATAATTAAAAGTAACAAAATATACAATCCACACGAGGTGCGTCGCCTATCATTGTATTTCAGCACTTTCATGCTAAAAATTAATAAGAAAAAGTGTTTTCCCGAGAAATTTTGGTGTAGTCGATTTTTGGTAAAAAAGGAAGGTTATACACTGCCTTTTTTTGAACCCCGAATTAAAAATTGTCTCAGATCGACCCGGAAAAAAATTTTCTTATAGAATGTGGCCTGTAGAATCCATAATTTCAAACAGTTCCAAGATTGGGCTACTAGTTCAAAAGTTACAGCCCTTTGAATTTTTTTTCGAAATTGGTTTCTAGTCTATAACTTTTGATTGAGAAGTCTGATCGAGAAAAAGGAAGGTAATACACTGCCTTTTTTTGAGCCCCGAAGAAAAAATTGTCTCAGATCGATCGGACCCGGAAAAAAAGTTTTCTTATAGAAAATTACCATACAGTTTTTTTTAAATTGCAGCTGATAATTAAAAGTAACAAAATATACAATCCACACGAGGTGCGTAGCCTATCATTGTATTTCAGCACTTTCATGCTACGACAAAAGATGATAAATTCATTGTAAAACACTTCAATTAAAACAGATTTTTTTAACAACCTAATATCAACCCCAATTAGAGAAACGTGTTAATAGTTTATTAATAGTGCAAGAAACTAAATACAGCATATACTTATAAATTTGCAACGGGCCATTATGATCTACAGGCCAGGTGGCAACCAACCAAAATAATAGTATAATCACAAGTATAATATAACAAACACGATTCATCTAACGGTACTCAAAAACAAAAGCATGGAGTACGCCATATTTAGATATCGCAGAGATATCGCAGTGTATGCAAAATCAGCAAAAGAAAATAATATCAAATTGTGACAAGAAATTCAATGATTAATAGTCAGTACAAGAAAGAATAAAATGGTTACTACCTGTAATTACACCTTCAGGACACCACAACCATAATAATCAAGAATAAAAACCGGGAACGCGTGATGCCTTCCGTCGACCTCGTCGCCATCTTCTTTTCTTCCGCCACGCTCTTTTTTTCCCCTAGCTTCGTTACGAAAATCCCCTATTTCGGCATCTGCGCAAAACGGTCGATTGGTTATATACAGAGCATATCATATTTTTGTTTCAGATGTAAAGGTGTGTTGCCTAACCATAAGGGTAGATTATCCACGAGCCTCTTACATTCTTTTTAAGAGGTCTGTGAGATTATCACAAATTCTTCTCTTCGATTTTGCTAGACATTTGCCCGAGATTTTCCAATTCAAGGAATACTCCGAGGGATTGAACATATCCTCAATCAGCGCAGCTTCAAATCACTTTTGAAGAACACTCTCCACACCTCGCATATCAAGGGATCTTTCCCAAAGTTCGGTAATCTTCAATTCCATTAATTTTATCATGATTCTTGTTACTAATTAAATCCCACTTATGACACCAATGTAACATTTTTCAAACACTCAAATCTTTTCAAAGCGGGAGTTTATTAGAAAACGAAAAATTCTCCTGTCACCGCTTGTCCACACTGTCAACTCACTTAATCGTAAATACTTTTAAAAAATTTTATTTTACAAATAAACATTCGGCTTGCCAAAATTCCAAGAGACTCAAAATTTACAGGGTTCATAAACACACACACACATGACAAACTACCCAAAACAAGGTCCCACTGAAAGGAGTCGAATTCTACAAAGTATCTCTCTCCTCCACAACTGCTTATCGAGATCTGGGGGGCTAATGGTACCCCACCTTGAGAATTGAATGAAAACCAGAACTTTACATAAACACAATTGCAAAAATGCATTTTATTTCCGTAAATTTATTACAACTGTTGCACCGACACCGTAACAGAAATCAGCAATAATTCATCCGTGTAGGAATTTCTACCGTACATACATCATTAAGCCAAAGCTTGTAAAGGTGTAACAATAAAGTAGTGAGAGCACCCTGTATGCGTAATTAAACGAAATGTACACACAATTGCGATCGTGACAGAAGTACCAACCAGTGATGTGTGTCCGTGTACGTGCACCACATAAAGGATTGATTCGTGTGCGTAAAATAAGCTAGCTATACGGCTAATAACCCTGCGTTACAACATTATGTAGAAATTCCCCCGTTGTACGCATAATCCGCCTTGTTATGCATGATGAGGCAATCGTCGACGAAGTAGAAACTATCCGAACGTGTCTCGAAGGGCGACGCAATCATTTCATTTACTACAAAGAATTATTGTAGTTTAAACGATATTTAAGTCACCCGCAATCGTTACCTAAATCGGGGGGCAGGCTGGGAAATTCGTAAATATGCTCGCAGGTGTTCTTCGAGTACGGTATACAAAACCCGAACTCGAAGTCGAACGTTTTCAAAAGTTTGTCCCTAAAAAAGTGGCGCTCGATCATGCGAAACCTATTGACCGGTCGACTTCCGACAGTAAATTCGACACTAGAAGAGTTAACAGTTACAGATGGAAATGTAAAAAAAAAATGCTTACGTGGCCCCAACCATTTTCAATTTTAAGAACTGCGGGGTGAACTGGTAACGAACGAATCTGCCGGCGTTAGGATCGATCGCCTCCTCGCCGTCAGCTTTATCGGTATTGTCGTCTGCGTTCTCGGACGAAGCGGGTTTGGCAATTTCGAATAAGACGGCGCCGCTTTCGAGATCGCGTATTTTGAATTTGGTAAAGTCTATTTCGAAGATATTCGCGTCCGGTGAGCATAAGTAAGTGTCCGTTATGTAGGGTATTCGTAATACATCTTCCGGTGTTATTACTTTTTTATTTGCTATCGTTTCTAGTAGTTTATTCGGTAACTTTTTACACTGTTCACTTACAACGCTCATTGTTATTAATTTTAATTTAACTTTCTGCTTTCTCTCATTATTTTTGATTGAAGGAATTTAAAATGGCCGATTGCGATGTTGCTCGTTACACCAACTGTCAATTATGAGGTTGCGTTCAATTTTAACATCAATAAGGCTGCGTTCAAAACTTTGTATTAGTAGAAGCCTTGAATTTTGAGCATTGGTAAATATTGTAATGCCAATGTATTAACAAAATAAAAAAAATAAAGCATAATAAACGTTGGAATTACGTGGTTTTAGATTTGCTTTTATTCTAATAGTATAAAATTATATTAAAATGCCTTCATAAATAAAATAGTTAGCAATTCGGCTTATGGTGAATGTGGCCTTTTGAAGTCATTTTGAGTGACGCATATTGGGAGGTGACACTCTCATTTATTTTTTTAAATTTTAGCGCTGGAGTTCTGCGTGACATTTCAGTATTTTGCATTTTTGTGTGGGATTGTACTAGGCAACCAGTCGACCATTCATTTACCACTAACCCAATTACTGTATCATCCATAAAATGTAAATAAATGTCTTTTGATTGATTGATTGATAGTTATCAATTCAATTACCGAAGCACCATGTATGTAACGACTGATGCAATTATGGCGGAATTGTGATTATTGGCAACGCCGCTTTCGCCCAAAATGTACGTCACACATGAAGTTTAATAATGAATATTTATTGCTTTGCTGGATTAATAACATTATTATTTGCTTTAAATTAACAGAAATTGATTAATTAATGTAATTGACTTCTGTAAGAAAGTATTGTTAATGATTCGGCGTGGTCCAGTGAAAAGTTTGGGGGGCGTATTGAGGTAAAAAATGGCACGGGATTATGATCACTTATTCAAATTGCTCATCATTGGCGATAGCGGTAAGTGGTAGGTGGTACCCGCTTCCTCTTTAACCGCTCAATTCAATTGAAGGAGTCGGAAAAAGTTCGCTTCTACTTCGATTTGCCGACAACACCTTCTCCGGTAGTTACATTACGACGATAGGTGTCGATTTTAAGATACGCACCGTAACAATAGACGGTCAGCGTATTAAATTACAAATTTGGGACACGGCAGGCCAGGAGCGGTTTCGGACGATCACGAGCACGTACTATCGAGGAACGCACGGTGTAATCGTTGTGTACGACGTGACGAATGGTGAGTCGTTCGCAAACGTCAAACGATGGCTGCACGAAATCGAACAGAATTGTGACGTCGTCAACCGGATCTTAGGTAGTATTGTGGTTATCGCGTCGCAAGTCTAACACGGTTAGTTTTCTAGTGGGAAATAAAAATGACTGTCCGGATCGTAAAGTAGTCCTAACGGAGGATGCGAAGCGATTCGCAGACACGATGGGTATACAGTTATTCGAAACGTCAGCCAAAGATAACATAAACGTTGAGGAAATGTTTATAAACGTTACTAGGTTAGTTTTACGAGCGAAGTTAGAAATGAAAGAGCGACAGAATGTTACGCAGAACGATGTCGTTAATTTAAGGAAGAGTAATAAGCAGGGCAAAAAAAGATGCTGTTAATGTTTTTTTAAATTTGCTTTCTATTTTGAATGTGTGTGTGTGTTTTTTAAAATTGCTTTTCTCGATATTATTAGCAACCTCTCATTAGCTTTCTCTTTTATAAGTATTATACGCATTTCTTTTTGTACATATTTTTATACATGTTAAAATAGAAAGCAAGTCTAAAAATGTTTTATAATTGTAATTAGGAAATTATTTAGTAAGTTTAATTTTTGTATGCAATTCCTAAAATTCTTGTAATTGTACAGTAAATAAAAGATACTGAATCCTATTCGAAAGAGACAAGAGAGATAAGAAAAATAAAAACAGAAACAGATAAAAACTTTGAAGAAGAAAATAAATCTGCACAGCAAATTATACATGGTCTTAAAATCCTGTAGATAAGTAAAAAAATTGCAATTGGAAAGGTTTCGTACACGATGGCTCACAATTGAGATCTTGGTAACTGTAGAAGATACAGTGTAGGTTAATGGGGGCAAAATTACCTGTTTTTGTGACAAAGAAAAACGCTTTTGAAAATAATATTGAGCTATCACCGTGGAAATTCGTCTGTTTACTATCTTCTATCGGCATTTTTTTTGGGGAATCTGGGTGTGTTATCAGAATTTCCATAACACGCTAAATGTAGAAGGCTACTATACTTTCATATGGACGCCATATTGGATTTTAACGGAATGAGAGAGGACAAAAAGAAAAATAATGACTTGCCTCATAAATTTATAAGAAAAATTTCAAAATCAAAAGTTTTACATTAATTTCTCAATAAAACATCCACGGGTAACTAGATATTCTTCAATCAATATGTCTTTTGGTCCATTTTTGTCCTCTATCTCATTCCGTAAAAATCCAATATGGCGTCCATAAGAAAGTAGTACCTATAATAGTAATAGTAGCATGTAACTTCTACATCTAGTGTGTTATGGAAATTCTGATAACAGATTAAGATTCTTCGAAAAAAAGTGCTCATAGAAGATGCCAACGAGATTCGATAATACCTCAGGTTCGAAAACGCTCTACCACTGAGCTATACATAGTCGTGGATGGCATTGGCGGTAAGGTTGTGGCAACCTACTGCATCTGACCAATTGTGGTTATAATTTAAGGATATAGTCTACTGGCCCTGTACATATTGTGCGCGTAACGCCAGCATCGGATAGACGCTGGTAAAATGCATTAAATCTGTACTGTGCCAGTTAATGGCAAGAGTGACATAAATGCAATGGGCCATCAATGATGTAAGTTGCGTGTGGAGGAGATGTTCCGCCAACAATCGCCCTTTAAAATGTGATTGTTAGGGAGAAGGAAATTTAGATACAGCACAGAATCGACTGTATTTATAGGTGCTTTTCCCCACGGTATAAATTGTTAATCGACATCTACAAGGCAATATATCATACTAAATAATCTCCCGTCTCATGAATACATACATAAATACTTAATAAAATAATATAAAGACGAGATTCAAGGAACGGCTCTCATGCAACATTTCCACCGTATATAGTTGCAATTCGAGTACAGTCCCGGCATTTAGGTAACGTAACTAAAAATGGTTACAGTTATTTACCACCTCAGTCACTGTCTCATTAAGGCAAAAATTATTAGTTGACAAACAACAAATCGGTACACACCTACACCCATCAAACGCAACAATTCAATAATTTCCGCATTTAAAATAAATGTAATTTGGGGCCAAAAATAATCGAAACATAAACATGAATTTAGCAAACATTTAAGCAAAAAATTAAACCTATTACAAAACAATAAAAGTTAACGGTATCAAATACGTGATTCTACATTGGGGTTAAATTAATTCAATTTGAAAAACAAAAATTTATCAAAAATATAAAGTTTTGTAGAAATGTAAAGATTACTACCTGCATTAATTAACAACAAACTTAAACTGCACAATGTATTCATGGCAAAAGTTGATTCGATAAGATCCCGTTATAGTGATCTCGAGATGGGGTCTCGCGGTTGCCAGCTTTGCATTTGAAAAAAGGCACGTGATCAAACATCTAAGGCAGGGCCCCCTTACGTTAATTGTAAGCAATGCTATTATGACCTGAAGACCTACTGTTAGAGAAGGAAAATAAAATAAAACACAGAAATTGGTTGTTTAATAATGATCGTTATTTATTATTAAGATTGTGAAAACCCGGAAATTTAGTCGATGTACATTATTAATATAAGCAAAGTCAAAAGGTGTCGTAGTACTCTAGTAAATCCATATACACAATGTTGGTTACACTCAAAAGGTTAAAAACAAATTTTGGGAACAATGGGGCAGGTAAGTAGGTACCTAAATTCTGAGAAAAAGTTAAGAGTACAAGATGTGACTCATCTTTGGTGCAATAAAGTTCTTTTGTTAAAAGCAAGATGGAAAATTACATGGACTTGTAGGCAAATTCCGCTATCGGCAGAAATATATGGAGTCGGAGCTCATTTGTTACACATAGATTCTAAACTGAAGAGTTTTGATTAGCATAATCTCACCCCCGCAAGATAGGTAATTTCGCCCCTCGTTCGGGGTTTCGAGCCTACGGTTGAATGTCAAAGACAATCACGGAATTAGGTGTCGTAACTCAATTTGATTACAGTTTTTACCACCCCCATGACTGCTTCAGAAAATGTTAGTTACAAACAACAAGTCAGTAGATACAACAAACAACTCTGTAATTTCTACATATTAAAATAAAATAATCAAAATTTATATGACTATTACTTCTCGGACAAGACCAAGTAATCAACACAAACATAAATTAATCAAACATTACACCAAAAACGTAAACGATTACAAACAAAAGGATAACGGTATTAAACATGTCACTCTGCATAGCGGTTAAACCAAGTCAATTTCAAAAACAAAGATTGAAACACACAACAAATATAAAATGCGGCACACAAAACACAAATACGATATAAAGAAAAAAAAATTACTACCTGCATTAAATAACAACAAACATTTATGGAGCGACGCGTTCACGACCACCATTCAAGACAAGATGCCAAAGGTAACTCCACGTTCGTGCTCGATGGTGCAAATCGCTTTCCCCTCTTAAAAATTGCGTGGTTGCCAACTCTCAAAAATGTGTGCATCGTCATAAATTGTATATACAGGGTGGAACCTCTCAAGTGTATTATAGAAACTCGCATGGAATTTACTTGATAAGCTTTGATCGCGGGATCCAACGCCGAAAAATGCCTGGCACAACCTATTTATCAAAGTTCTCTTCTTGGTCCAAAAACCACTTACGGTGATTTTTTATCTGCTCGACTGAAATTTTCGATTGCGCGATCCCGCTTCGAGCAGTTCAAAATCAGGAATGGTTCACTTACACTAACAGCGTTTTTTATCGCGGTTTCAACGACTCTCTCCCGCGGGCGCATTCAATTTTTCACACAAAATCCGACTTGTTTTAATTTATGATCGCGCCTTGTTGCCTTTACGGCCCCACGCGTAATTCTTTCTCTGTTGATTATTTCTGACCGCAAATCCGACGGCTTAACGCTTAATTCTCCCTGTTACCTTTCACGGACGCTGATCAGTGATCTGAATCAGATTAATTTTTCCTTTAACACAATTTTTGGACGCAATTAACGGTCAGGGCCGTATTCAAGAACTATTCGCCCCAAAATGTACTCGACAATTTTCATGCGTATTGTAGTCACAGTAAACCGACTGGTATGTGGCGTACTCTCGTGGCGAGTAACTGTATTATACGTCTCGCTATGCCTCATAAACTAGGATGACACCAATTTCCAAACTAATTTATTAAACATATTTGGCTAATAAATTATGTACATTTCAATTTTCCTACTTCTTCTCATTCGCTACCGTGTTCCTATTCAGGAACTCTATACAAATCTGTAAAAATTCGTTTGGTTTTTCACTATGGAGCCAGTGTCCGGCACCTTCAATCACTTGAAACTCCGCATTCGGAAATAGATTTAAAATTTGGGAATGATCCGTTTTCCTAACATAAAAGGAATATGTCACTTGAACGTGTCGTCATCCACTTACTGTATGAAATCGGATACTCCTCCCGCGACAAACAAGACCGGACCAGTAAATTTGCACTCGGCAGGTATAGGAAATGACGCTATGTGATCGTAGAAATTACTGAGTAACGCCGGTATATTTACTCTCCACATAAAACTGAAATTGACTCGCTAAAAATGAACCAGCGTGAAATACGCACCTTCCGTCGGTCTTCTGTATCAGATTTGTGAGGAGGAACGCTCTCAAGCCCCTATCGCTGATATTTTTCGCTAACTGTATGTCGGCGTTTAAACGAGCCGAGGACATCGGTATATGGGACGGCAGTTGAACTTTCTGAATAGCGCTGAAAAGTGTCGGCATCGATCTCAAATTCGGGCTTGACGTAATTGGCGACACGTCGCCGATTATTAGTTTATCTACAAAGTTCGGCTAAAGCGTTTGTAAGAAACGTTCGTGCGCGTACCGTACATATTTCAAGGCAAAGTACATCATCGCGCGTCCTCCCATCGAGTGTCCGAGCAAACACGAGCGTTTGATTTTTTGCTGCGCGTACAACAGCTTTATATCTTCGGCCAAATGAGGATACGTGTGCGAGTTGCAGTGCGGACTGTCGCCGTGATTTCTCGCGTCCACCGCTATTATTTTCCGCTTGGGATTGGTGTGTCGATGGAAAGCTTTGCAGAGGCTGTTCCAGTTCGCCTTGGAGCCGAGTAGTCCGTGCATTACTACGAGAGGAGTCGGTGGATCCACGGGATAGGTTAAGGTGCTCTCGTATGAGGCAAAGGCCATATTTATAACGTCCTGGCTTGGATCTGTGCAGAATTTCGATGCACAAACATATTTTACAAAGTGCTTTGGTGTAATTGACAATAATTTATTTACAAGCATTTTCTAGGTTAAGTTTCAAAATTTCAAGGGAGGTGACGTGGTTAAATTACCGTCGCGTATATATTGTACAGGATGCTCGGAAAGTTTGTACCTGTTAAAAGAAAGAGGTATATATGAATTTTTGAATGTACATTACAGAAGACACGTTTAGATTGATCATGAATCACGATTGAAATCTAGAATGGGTTGCCTTATCAAAACATGTAAATGTTTTCTATTTTTTGTTTATGTAGAACAACATAAGGATTTCCAGTGACTTTTGAAAAGCTCCTCCCAAAACGTTTACGCTTTTCTCAGGGTATTTTCAAAATGGTGCACATCTTTTTCAAGACTTTTTATTGTACATTGGACATAGATAGATATCATCTCTAGAAGATAGGTACATGAGAGAAGACTTTTAACGATTTTCCATGGTTTTATATGAGCTTTCCAAGGCGCCTTCTTGTGGCTTCTAAAATTATGTATCTGCATTGTAAAAGATTGTAAAAGTGCCTTGCAAATTTGTGTATGGCTTTTTAGAGCAATAGAAACTATTCCAGAGTTATTCATTTTCTCCTCTTATTGTATTGGCAGCACAAGCGGATGGCGTCTAAGATATTCCTTAAAATGCGCAGTGAAGCTTTAGAAAGGAGCTAAGTGGTTTCCGAGCTGTGTAAAGATTCCTTGCCTGTTTCAAGCGAGCTACCCAAAACTTTCCAAAGCTTTCCCGTTTTATTTAGCTTTGGAGAAGTGCTTTACGTATCTGCTGCTCTCCATATAGTAGCGGTTTCGGCTCAGCGTCTAAAAGTGCTTTCTGGAAGCTACATAGAACTCGTAGGATGGTTTGTTGAATGTGCCTTTGAAATGCTTTGGACGTCAGTCGTTTTGCAGGAGACGTAGTGATAACAGTGCCTCATATACTCATGGTGCTTTCTAAAGTCCAATCTCGACCTTACCACTTTTCTAAAACCTTATTGATCTTTCCAGAGTGGTATCGATGAGGAGCACAGCTAGTTCTGAGAAATAAGTATGTAGGCAAATGCGAATATAGAACGTATGTTCTGTATAATATGTAGTTTTAAGATACTATAATATCTTATTCTGTAGTAGCACTCTGGTGCGTAGATTTAGAACTAGAACATGTTGACTGCATCTACAGACATGTTGATGTTGTGTTCCAATTAAATGTTATACTTGTGTGTCCTGTTTATTATTTTACCTAGAGACAGCGATACTAAATAATACATGGTGTCAGGTAGTTGTGGAACACAAATTGTAGTTTGAATGTGTGCACCTAGTAAAGAGCACGAGGAAGTTTTGTAAAATTACGCAACACTTGTCAATAAAATGGACGGCTTATTTAAACCGCCGGATCCCCTCGTTTTGGACGGCAATATTTCAGAAAATTGGCGTAAGTTTGAACAAAGATTTGACCTTTTCCTTGTAGCAGCTGACCTAGACAAAAAAGCTGAAGGAAAGAAAGTAGCAGTTTTTCTCAATGTGATTGGCGAGGATGCATTGGAATTATACAATACATTTACATTTACCGAAGAGGAAAAGAAAGAGAAGACCTTGACCCTGATAAAGCAAAAATTTACGGAATACTGTTCGCCAAAGAAAAATGTAATCTTCGAACGCTTCAAATTCAACAGCATAGTTCAGGCAGAAGGACAAACCTTTGATAATTTCTTGACAGATCTACGAAAAGCAGTACAAACCACAGAATATTCTGATCCAGATGATATGATACGAGATAGAATCGTCATGGGAATCAAGAACAAGATAGTACAAGAAAGATTACTACGAGAAGCCGACATCACGTTACAGAAAACCATTGATTTCTGTAGGGCCTCTGAAGTAAGCAAGAATCAGTCCAAGGTACTACAGCAAGAAGTTGACGTGAGCACTGTTAAACAAGCAACGCTAAAGTGTAAATACTGTGGGTACAAGCACGCACCTAAAAAATGTCCTGCCTTCAAGAAGACCTGCGCGAAATGCCAAGGAAAAAATCATTTTGCTTCCGTGTGTACGCGTGAAAAGGCAACCAATGAAACCAAGAAGTACACAAAGAAAAGGAAGGATGTACATGAAGTGTCTGGAACGGAAGATCATCAACTCTGTGGAAGTGAAGAGAGTGGCGAAAGTGAATGCGAGTTTTACGTGAGTGCAATTAAAAGGGAAGCACATAAAGAGTCCATGTGGTTCAAGAAAGTGGAAATCTGTGGCAAGTCGATAAACTTTAAATTAGACACGGGTGCCGAGGTGAGCGTACTACCAGTAAATATTTTAGAAACGTTACCTAAATGTAGGATCGAGAAGTCAAATGTATCTTTAGTTTCTTATGGAAGTACAAAATTTAAAATTACTCCTGTTGGTGAAGCTGAACTGAAATGTAAGGTAAACAAGTACGTGTGTAATATTAAGTTTGTAATTGTCGATACTAGAGATCAAATGCCATTACTAGGATTGCAAGATTGTATTAGATTGCATTTAATTAAGCGAGTGGATGAATTACAGGCTAGTTTTAAATCATCCGAAGATGTAGTGAATAGGTTTCCTAGTGTATTTCAGGGGTTAGGAACATTTCCTAACAAGCATCATATAACGTTAAATGAAAATGTAAGTCCTACAGTTGCACCTATTAGGCGTGTCCCTCAAATTTTACATAATCGTTTAAAATTAAAATTAGAGGAGTTAGAGAAATCAAATAGTATTAGAAAAGTAGAGCACCCTACTGAGTGGCTTCAACCGCTAGTAATTGTAGAAAAACCTAATGGAGATTTAAGACTGTGCTTAGATCCCAAACAGTTAAACTGTGCTATTAAGCGCGAACATTTTCTAATACCTTCTATGGAAGAAATATCCGCCAAATTAAGTGGTAAAAAATTCTTTACTGTGCTTGACATGAAGGACGGTTATTGGCAAGTATTAATAGACGACGCAAGTGCTAATTTATTAACATTTGGGACACCGTATGGTCGATATCAATTTCTAAGGCTAGCTTTTGGTGTATGTTCCGCGCCAGAAGTATTCCAGCGAAAAAATTACGAACTCTTTGGTGATATCGAAGGCGTTAGTTTATATTTTGACGACCTCATTGTGACAGGCGAAACTGAATTAGAACATGACAAAAATCTCAAAATAGTGTTGGAGAGAGCTCTTAAGTTTAATGTCAAGTTTAATAAGACCAAAATACAATTCAAACAATCTTCTGTCAAATTTATGGGACAAATATTTAGTCAAAAAGGTATCGAGACTAATAAAAATTATGTCAAAGCCATTATAGAAATGCCTGTGCCGTCTTGTAAAAATTCGTTATTACGATTTTTAGGCATGGTCAAGTATCTAGGCAAATTTATCCCAAAATTATCTCAAATTACTGCCCCATTGCGAAACTTAACACGTAATGATGTTCCATGGTATTGGTCAACTGAACATGAAGCTGCAGTGACTCAATTAAAACAGATTTTGACAAATTCACCAGTATTAACGTTTTTCGACCCTAAAAAAGAAATAGTTATCGAAACAGACAGCTCAAAGGACGGACTTGGCGCTTGTCTAATACAAGAAGAGCACCCAGTCGCTTTTGCTTCAAGGAGCTTAACAAAAACCGAGATGAAATATGCACAAATCGAAAAGGAGGCTTTAGCAATACTTTTTGCAGTACAGAAATTTCATTTATTTATTTATGGGTTAAACATCAAAATGTACAGTGATCATAAGCCCCTAGAATCAATATTTAAAAAAAATATTCAATCAATTTCACCACGATTACAACGTATCAGGTTAAAACTCTTAAATTATAACTTACATGTAACCTATAAACCAGGTAAACAAATGTACATATCAGATGCATTATCAAGAGCTTACCTAAAAAATGAAAAAGTATTAAAATCAAATCAAGAAATAGACTACTTTGTGCATTCATTAACAAAAACATTATCTATGTCAGAATCTAGGAAAGAACAATTTAAAAAAGAAACAAAAAATGACCCAACTTTGCAGCTGATTCGCAATTATATTGAAACCTCATGGCCCGCAAATAAAAATGATATTCCCACCGATGCTAAACCATTTTTCAAAATCAAAGATCAACTTTACAGTATCGAAAATTTATTATTTCACGATTATAAACTAATAGTTCCTAAAAAATTACAAAAAGAAATGATAACATTAATACACGAAGGTCATTTCGGGATTGAAAAATGCAAATCAAGAGCAAGGCAAATATTTTATTGGCCGGGTATGTCACAGGACATCGAAATGTTTATTAAATCGTGTAAAGTATGCGAGAAGTTTGCGCGAAAAAATTCATATCAAACTTTAATGCCATATCCGATAACAAAAAGACCTTGGGAAAGAGTAGCCGTAGATATTTTTACGTACGCTAAAATAAGCTACTTAGTCATGTACGATGCATTTTCAAACTGGTTGGAAATAGTACAAATTAAAGACAAAAGCGCAGTAACTGTTATGCAGGAAATCAAACAAATTTTTGCAAGGTTTGGATCACCAGACGTATTAGTAGCAGATAATGTGCCATTTAATAGCGAAATTTTCAAAAAATTTGCAATGGAATGGAATTTTAAATTAGCGTTTAGAAGCCCAAATTTTCCCCGATCTAACGGATTAGCTGAAAAAGCGGTTGCAATTGCTAAAAGCATCATTAAAAAAGCGAAAGAGGAAGGGAAAGATATGTATTCGGCTCTTTTGGCTTACAGAAACATTCCATTAAAGCATATAAACTATTCACCTTCTCAAATATTAAATTCACGCCGATGCAAAACTAAAATACCTATAGCACAAGAGTTATTGAGTCCAGAACTTTGCAAAAACATGACCAAAAAAGTAGAATACAAACAACAGTTAAATACAGATTATTTTAATAAACGTGCAACAGACCATGCTCCTTTAGATAACAATAGTAACGTAACTGTTTACAACCATGTAACTAACACGTGGGAACCTGGTAAAATTGTAAATACTCATCAGTTCCCCAGATCATACGTTGTTAAAGATAGTTTAGGTAACACTCTCAGAAGGAACAGACATGATTTGCGGATGTCGCAAAACGAATATCAAGTAAAAGATCATGAATGTGAGAGCATATCTCAAAATAATGAAAAGACATTGCTTAACTTACCTCAAACCTCTGAAAGTGGACCTCAGCTGTCTTCCGATCTGCAAAACCCACCTTTCCAATGTGTTAAAGAGTCATATGTAACTACCCGCTCAGGTCGAACTATTAATAAACCTATTAAGCTAGATTTGTAAAGAGGAAGGATGTATAATATGTAGTTTTAAGATACTATAATATCTTATTCTGTAGTAGCACTCTGGTGCGTAGATTTAGAACTAGAACATGTCGTTGACTGCATCTACAGGCATGGTTATGTTGTGTTCCAATTAAATGTTATACTTGTGTGTCCTGTTTATTATTTTACCTAGAGACAGCGATACTAAATAATACATGTTCCGGTCTCTGAGCAATCAAATACTGTACGCCTCTACACTTGGAAATACGCTCTGGAGAACACTTACTCTAGGAAGCGCCTGAAAGATTCTCAAAGGCATTCCAATTTTTGCTAGCGCCCTTCTCGAGCTCTTTTAGAGTTCTAGACGCCCCACTCACGACTGGAGGGTCTAAAGGACACGTTTGAATTTAAATAAATAATTTTATAATGTGACCTACTATTTAAATGTTAATATTCGTCATTATGTTAAATTTCTAAATCATAATAAACATTTCGCTTTAATTAAATTGTAAATTTTATTCATGAATTAAGTAAATGTAACGTTAAGAAGTCGTTAATGTAAAGAAAATTTCAATAGAAAAGAGTTAATGAAGGGCCTTCTGGAGCTTCCTAACGCATTTTTCCTCCTGTAGACAGAGTGACGTCTAAGTGGTTCTTAAAAGGCGCTGATGTGAACTAGTTTCCGAGCTTTGTAAAACCTCCTTGCTCTCAAGAGCTTTCCAAAACTGTTCCAGCTTTGTATAGCTCTTGAAATAACACAGAAAGCAGAAAGCACGTAGACGATACCCGCCAGTTTTAGAAAGAACAGAGTTTTGGAAATCTCCAAGAAGTCTAGACTATGCTATGGAAATGGCTACGGAAATATGCCACTAAGTTTGCAAAGGATCTGATGCCAAAAATTTTGCGAACGAGATGATCTCTCTTTTACTAGATACTATATATTTCTACCAGAACTTAAAAACAAAAATCCTACACTAATTAGGAATGCAATAATAACAGCATATTTGAGCGTCGTCAGCTGTAGGGTTTTTCTGTTGAACTTGCTAGCGTGTACAATTTTTGTAAAACCATGGCGGAGTCGTCTGGTATAACAGATTTTGCGTCTATTTCGCCGACTGCCAAGCCCGGTTTGGCGCCTTCCGGTAGTGCCTGTACGTTCCTCGCGGTTTGCATACTTTCTTTCCAATTATCCAGCCACGAATCATTCTTCCTTTTCATTTCCTGAAACCAATGCTTTGAGTACACGCGTGCAAATAATTTATTTGGTTGTCTGTTGATCATGACAGTTTGGAAGTAGACAAATGGAGTCAGTTACCTGCTGTTGCGCGTATAAGTAGTTCCCTAAGTTGTTGGGGACATTCCGTTTGCTGGCCCCCGAGCCGGGCACCTGGCGCAAGGGCTGCGTGTTCAACTGAGGACCCAACTCCACGAGTACTTGAAAATCAGCCCGATTCCCTAATCTGAAACCCCACCCATACCTCGAATCGGTACCTGCAAATTAACGGTAGGTAACACTTTTGGAGTAGGTAGGGTAGCATCAGGGTTTACCTTTCTTTATCGTTGGTATATTTGAGTATATGACCGAAAGTAAGGATGGAAGCTCGTCCGGAACGATAAGTGCATGAACAGCTAAAAATTTAAGCAATGAATTAGTTCTTAGGACACCTCTAGTTGGTGTTTACCGATGCAGTTAATGAAAACTCCAATAATGGCACCATTCCTCATGGTAGATCAGAGAAATTGCAAGTGCTGGAAGAACTTTGGTCGGTTTGCACTTGAGATTCGCAAAAAGTTTATTGTCTTGATCTTCACTATTTTGCTATTAGAAGTGAATGTCACTTTTTATTAGCAATTTGCACAACACGTTTACGTAACAGCAAATTTACACGCACGTATTAACGATGAATTAAGTAAGAACTGTACCATACGATAACTAAAAGTAAATTTGAAACCAAATAGGTCACGAAGTTCGCTTAACTTTCCCTCCATGAATTTATCATTGACTGTTTTCTAAATTACTACACATGCGTCTTGGCGAGTGTCCTTGCGTCTAGAAACTAAAAAAATACATTAATGAGCGAGGGAAATTTTGCAATTAAAAAATACTGTGATTCATACGCATAAACCTTGAAGAAAGTTTGAAAAAAATTCTATTGCGGTATGGTGATGGTACCTATCTGCACCTTTTTTGAATTGTTCGCCTATAACTCTTCAATTAGGTATGCGTTTTTAGCAGGTTTGGAGCTTTGGAAATTGTAGTCATTTTTAAAGCGACTTGAAGCTTGACGATTTTTGCAAAATAAAAACACAGGCTCTCTTCGAAATCTTCGGCATCTTTGACATTTTTGCCTTTTTCCATTACGTCGCCTTATTGGATTTCTTACACTTTCTCTCTGTTACGTTAGCTTTTGTAGACCATTAGGCTGCTTGGCCTTAACGCCTAGCCCGTCGTCGACACTATTCGACATTTGCTCCGTAAAAATCCTAGAAAACTAATGGACAAAGAAACCTATGCGTGCGTTAACCGAAGAGGAAACGTAATTTGTTTGTTCTGACCGGGTCATCGAGGACGCATTGGAAGGACAGTTACTGCAGTAAGCACCTGAGAAGAGGCGAAGCTACGGTTTCTTGAAGTCAAAACTTTCCCAAATCTGTGGTGGAGTATCCTGTATATAATTTAATAGAATATTGTTTGTTTTTAGTTTTAAGGTTGGTAATAATCAAGATGTCTTCGTACTAGAATTATTCAATAAAGGTAAGTTGTGGAATATTTTTATTTCTTTTTACTGCGGCTACCACATGTGGGGGCAATGGTATGGATCCCGGGGCCTCCATAAGTACTCCATCGAGTGAGTAAGCAAAAAGCAGTGGTAAATTGTGGAACGGAAGGAGCCTTTTTCACTCCTGTTGCGTGATCTCTCCACACTTCCTTCGAGCCCCTTCAACGTATGCTTCACAATTACTTTGAAACCTTTCCTCGTGCTTTCTTGGAGCCGTCTTCGTCACGCATACTTTGAACAAGCACGTTTGCTTCGCACCTCCTTCTATCCCTCTTTGTCCCCCTCTTCGCGCCTGTTTCGACCCCTCTCCCCTCCTCTTCTGATTCTTCTTCACGCCTCGTTCGAATCTACCTACTTATATCGTCTTTTTCGAGCCTTTGGTACTCGTGCCTCACGATGTCTTCGAGTCATTTCCACGCCTGCTTAAAATTTCTGCACGCCTGCTTCGAATCCTTTTCATGGGTTTCTTCACAAAGCTTTCCAACTTTTTATACACGTTTTTTGAGTACAACATCAGGGCGTGGGCGGTCAGGTCGGAGATACGCGGCCTTAAGGAGATCTTCGTCCATCCCGACTACAGCAGTCAGCAGACCGTCGGACGGAGACGTTGCGATCCTGGTGATGTACAAGCCGGTCGAGTTCACCGAGAAGATTACGCCGGTGTGTCTGTGGAGCGAAACGGAGGAGACCATCGTCGGCAGCGAGGGGACGGTCGTCGGCTGGGGACGCGACGAGTGGCCAAATAAATATTTAACTCGCAGTCGTTCTTTTGAGCCCAAGTTTTTAAATGTGATATTAATGTAGTATTTTGTGATATTTTTCTAAAAAATGTTACAATAGGTACTTCTTATTGACACCAAGAACCCCCTTAAATAACAAAATTTGAACCCAGAACTTAAAATTTACATATTTGACTCAGTTAGAAAACTTTCATTATTTAATATTGAAATTAAAGAATAGAGACTGACTTCCCCTAACTAACCCCTTTTCCAATATTACACAGATACAAAATAATGCATCGTTCACGCTATTGTTCGGTTTCAAACTCAACATTTCAAAGATAAAGAAGCCAAAACAATCATTTAGTCGTCCAACTTTGGAAATATTGGTTTACCCTTCCATTATAATTCTAGGAAATTGAGGTAGAATAATGGGACTAGAATCTGAGCTCGTAGGCGAAGGGCGCCATTTGTATTTTCAAAGAACTCCTACTAAAAATCTAGATTTAATAAAATTTTGAAATGATCAGTCCGCCTAATCCCCACTTTCTTATATCTTTACAACATGCGCCTACAAAATGAGCAATTGAGTAGGTACATATCCTTTCCCAATCCTGCGTTTATTAAAGGCAATCAGCCAGAAAGCGACATTAGCAGATTCCTGCAAGTTGTGCCAGAACACTCGGCGTAGGCTGCTCCCAGCATGATTCTAGAAACGGACCCAACTCATTAGCAATGGTAACGTAAAACATTGAATAAGCACTTTGAAGAAGTATAACTACATAGGAAATTGGTGTAAGGTATGTTGCATACACTGCAAAGTGGTTAATTACCACAAATATTGAAGGATATTTGGCCTCGGGCGGTAAATAATGACTATTTTAAACAGGGAAACCAGTTATACTTAGGGGTCCTTTGTTTTCCTTGTTTATCGGAGTTGAACAGTGTTGTCATATTTACCAGATCCTTATATAGAGATAGGTAAAGTTTGATTGTTTATTATGATGGTCCTTAGAACAGTTCTTGTTGTTTTCTTATTAGATTAAACTACATTTTGTACTTTATTTATTGTTCCTTATGATCTTACATTTCAGATTGATCCTCCCTTACATAATATTGTTATTGGCATTGAATAAAAGCTTATTCAATATTTTAATCTAGTTTATTCAAACTCAAAGCTCTTGCCAAAAATCTGGCAACGTTGGAATTTTAAAGAAGTAAAGAAATCTGCAAAGTCGGTAACTAGCTTTAAATTTGTGGTTCACTTTCCCCCACAACAGAGGGACGACAGAATCCTGGGTAATTTTCTTATTTCATCAGTTAACACGGGCGTTATACTTCTTTAAGGTGCTTATTCAATGCGTAAAAGCTATTTATTTTGCGTTATCTCTCGTTATAGACAGCTAGACGGGCGCCAACTACTTTTCTGGATAGTACATTTCGCCTGCGTATTGGACCATTCATATCGGTATAGGTAATGTACCAGAAGCGTGTTGAAAAAAGGAGGACGGAAGAATCCTGAGAACATCTAACAGAAGAAATTGAAGAATCTGAACAATTGAAAACGAACAAACCGAGAAGCCTTATTGATCGGAAGAATCGGAAATAAAATTTTATTCTTCGAGATTTGTTCGCCTTCCTTTTTCTGAATCCCTCCTTCATAACTCCTGTTTACCACGCCTCCATCGAGCTTCATTCACGTACGTTTTGATATTTTTTTATGTCTCAATTTTCTATTCTTTTTGGCCCCCTTCTCGCGCTTGTTTCGATCTTCACGGTTCGTTCAAGCTTGTTTTGCCCTATCTTTAAGCATTATTCGCGCCTTTCTTTAGTCCTCTTCACGAGCTATTCGAGCTTTCTTTACAATCCCATTGAGGTCTCTTCACGATTCTTTCGAGTATTCTTCACGCCCGCTTGTAGACACGCCTTCTTGGAATTTTCTTCCTCGGTCTTTCGAGTTTTCCCCATTTGAGCTTTTTTCACGATTCCTTTCGTCGCGCATCTTTCAGTCTTCATCACGGACCATTTCAGCACATTCTTTGAGCCTTTTCACGATTCTATCAAGCGAGATCTTCTCGGTTCCTCTATAGAGCCTTTTTGGCGCTTCTGTCTAGTCTCTCTATAGCCTTGTTCACGTCTCTTTTCGTTCTTCGTCATGTCTTCTTCCAGTTTTTTTCAAGGCCTCCATTGAGTAGTTTTTACGCTTGCTTCTAACTTTCTATACTTACGCCCTTTTCTCTTTTTTCGTGTCTATTACAAGCGTATAACACATCTTCACGTATGGTGTTGTTTATGTTTCCGTCGAGCCCCTCTTCCACTTTCTTTCGATATTCCTTCACGCCAGTTGTTTTCTTTTAAGCCTTCTTCACACCTCTTTTGAGCATTTACCACGCCTTTTTCAATCCTTCTTTACGCCACTTTCAGGTCCTCTTCAGCAGTCTTTCTAACATCCTTTACGTCTAACGTGTCTTCTGAGTTTGTATTGTATTTAACCCCCAGGTTCTATGCTAACTTCACACTACAAAAACACGGAAATAAGGTCAACCCGGCAACGTTTAAAAATGGCCACTCGAATGATGACCCCCTCCAAAATTAAACAAGATCCCGCTTAAATTTTAAAAGTGGCACGTGAACAAACACCTAAGGCAGGGCCCCCTTACGTTAGTTGTAAACAACGTGAAGTACACTAAGGAAGGAACGTAAAATAAAACACAAAAATTGTTTGTTTAATAATGATCGTTATTATTAAGATTTTGAAAACCTGGAAATTTAGTCGATGTACATTATTAATATAAGCAAAGCAAGCAAAGTCAAAAGATGTCGTACTCTCGCAAAAGTAACTGCCAATGGTAAAAAGAGTACGACGGAGAAAAACCTTGCAGTTCAAAAATTAGTTAACAAAATAATTTGTAAAATTATCAAGTTTAAGCAGTGGTTAACAAAGATAGTAAATGCATATACATCAAGTTGGTTACACCAAAGGTTAAAAACAAATTTTGCGAACAATGGGTCAGGTAAGCAGATACGATCACCGACTAGAGTAATGATAATCGAATGCTTACTGCCACTTAGGCAACCAACCGTACACTATCTAAAATGGCAACCTTGAAGTGGAACATTTCCGGCGGAAATTCGTCACGCATTGTCGTCTTTACTTCGGCGTTACAGTAGTTACGTAGTTCAGTCGCCAGGTTGCGAAATTTACCCTTACTGGTGGGAGATTGCGCTTATGCAGCTTCTGTCTTCCCAGTGGACCAGATATTTTGCTGGCAGTATCCAGTATTTACGTCCCACCAATGCCAATGTGAGTTGGCTCCCGCTACGAAGAGGGTTCTGGCACGGCATCCTTTACAATTAGTGTTACTAAGTGACTTCTTGGAGGCTGCATTCGTTAATCTGCCCTACAGCTTAGTAGTCCCATTGCTTCCAGGAAGGAACTGAGTGTCTTGAGCTTGAGGGTTTGTTTGGTTACTGTGAACAGCTGGACCGCCAGTACAGTACTGATGCACAGAGCCCCAACTATGGTAGACTGTCAGTTGTCTATAACTTGATCGGTGC